AAGACAGGAAGTGCTTCTAAAGATGTATTTCCGTTTTACATGTATCATCCAGGACGACTCCAACATAGGGAGGTGGCGGCTGCTGCTTTGGTTTATTTGCTGATCCCAGCCAATACACAACATGTGAATGAATGAAGGGGAGTACTGGCATTTCTTCTTTTTTCTGTCTTTTTTCCACTTCAAGCACTGATTATACAGTACTTGTTGTTGACACATTTATAAAGAAACTAATTTCAAACTAATTGAACTAGTAACCCCTAAAAAGTTGTCTGAAATGAAGATGCAATACCTTGCAGTATGCGCACATTTTGAATCAAAAAAAGACCAAGGCAAGGCAAGTTTATTTGTATAGCACATTTCAAAAACAAGGTAATTCAAAGTGCTATACATAAAAAAAACAACCAAGTAGGAGCAAAGGGATTTCCAATGTGTACTTAACTGTAATTATAATAAACCAGTTTTGATTGTGCAAAAAAGGCTACAACTATCAAATATCACATGTGAGTACAACATGATGATGTCACCAGATTTGTTCACATATGACACTAATGATGAAGTGCTTTGAGAAACTGGTTCTTCGGCACATAAAGAACAACATCCCAGCCAGCCTGGGCCCTCACCACTTTGCTTTCAGAACCAACAGATCCACTGAGGATGATATCTCCACTGCCCCCCACTCAGCCCTCACACACCTTGAGAAAACAACACCTACATCAGAATGCTGTTTGTGGATTTCAGCTCAGCATTCAACACAATCTCCCCATGAAACTGATCAGCAAACTCAGCACTCTGGGTTTAAATACAACACTCTGCAACTGGATATTGGACTTCCTCACAAACAGACCCCAGACAGTTCGGATTGGCAGACTCACCTCCTCCACTCTAGTGCTCAACACCGGAGCCCCCAGCGCTGTGTGCTCAGCCCCCTCCTGTCCACGCTGTTCACCCACAAACGCATCCCCTGACATGGAGAGAACTCGAAGTTTATGGACAACACCACCATGTTCGGCCGCATTTCAAACAACGATGAGACTTTATATCGGGAGGAAATTGAGTGGTGCAGTGAACAACCTACTGCCCACCATCAGCAAAACCAAGGAGCTTATTGTTGATTTCAGGAAAAAGGAGATAAAGACACACTCCTGTCTACATCAGTGGTGCTGAGAGGGAGCAGGTAAACAGTTTCAGGTTCCTGGGAATCAGCATCACAGAGAACTTTTCATGGTCATCTAACATCTCCACACTGAGAGTGCAAGATCATGTTAACCAGAGACCAAAAACACAAGCATGTTCAATGAACATGTGTTCATGCAAAACACTGTATGAACATACGGGCAGTATGTGCCATCAAACTTTTGAATTTCTATGTGGCAGATTGCGAAGTATTTTTAGGCCCACATAGTTTAAAGAGGTGGTATTCTGCTCATTTTCAGGTTCAAAATCTTATTTAGGGGTTGTACCAGAACAGGTTACATGGTTTAATTTTCAAAAAACACCTTATGTTTCTCATACTGCACATTGCTGCAGCTCTTCTTTTCACCTGTGTTGTACGCTCCGCTCTTGAGCTACAGAGTGATGCATCTTACTTGTACAAAATCTTTGTTGGGAGTTGCACATGCGCAGTTCCCAGGTAAGGACTACTAGCCAATCAGAAGCAGAGAAGGGCGGGTCGTAAGAAACAAGGTAGTGTGATCCTAATCAAAGCCACTTCACACTGCAACTGTAACCTAGCAGTTACTTACAAGTCCACAAACACACAAAATCATTGTTCCACATCTTACCATAAACCACTACAAAAATCACAATATTTCAACTCAATTTTACAGAAAAATTGGCCAAACAATTTGAACATTTGCTCAGTAGCTTTCACATCAGGTGTAAAATTAGCATTATAGCTATAACTTTAGCTGTGTTAGCCAATGTTTACAACAACTCCGCACTTGACAATGGAGCAGGGGGAGGATACTCAGTGTAGAGGTTCCGTCTCGGAAGTGTTTTCACCTGAGCTTATTTCGAGCCCCCAGACAGTACCTAGATGAGACATGAGAGATATGTGCACTGGATTGAATAGGAAGGGATGAGTCTGGGGATGAAGGGATGATGGGATCAAGAGATGAGGGAAGAGAGCATGAAGGGATGAGGGGATGAAGGGATGCTGGAAGAGAGGATTAAGGGGTGAGGGGAGGAGGAAAGAGAGGATGAGTGGATGTGTGTAGGGGTGAATGGAGGGAGTGATGCAGGTACGGTTAATAGATGAAGAGACGGTAAAGGGAGGGTGGGTCAAGCCATCTAAGAGAAGCGGGGCAGGCTGAGTAGAACACGTTTGCGTAGCTTTGACAGGTGATTGGAGGTGTGGTTGATGCATTTGCACTGAAAAAGCGTGGGTGATGAAATTAGAGCCGGGCACGCATGCTGAGAGAATGCTTGGGCAGAGACTGTCGAGGAAGGCTTCTTGTAAAGCGTTTTCTCAGCTGTGGAGCTAGTTGAATGATGTGGCTGAAAACGGTGAGACTGGTATGGCATGAAAATCTGATTCTGGAGCCCTGTGTCTGAATTTCTGAATGAGAGACAAGACAATGAATTCCCAATGTTGTTGTGGTGGCCAAGAATGTGAGCTGCCCTGAAGTGGAACTGGTGTTGAGCCGAGCTGGAAGCACTGGAGGTTGTTGTTGCCAGAGTATTGATGTAGGCTAAGTAGAGATGAAACAATCTTGTTCTGTTGTTGTTGCGGTGGAAAGGAATGGCTTTCCCTCTGAGGAATCGTCGTAGGCGGGCATCGGTCCAGTCTCTTATGTCGGGCTGCATTTGTGGAAGTAAAGCAGCCACACTACTGAAGAGGGCATGCCACGCCGTGAAGAGTGGTTGGTGCCTGTACGAGAGGGAGGCTGCTGACGAAGAGGCTAGGAATTCCCTGGGAGTTGGAGATATCTCTTTAGGGGAGCTAGAGTGGAGATCCCACCGGGGCTGGGGTATGTTAACCTCTGAGCACAAGCGGCTCCCCTGGTTGTGGACTGTTGTGACATGATTGGAACATAGCCGGTTTCAAACCAATTGTCATACAGATTGTCTTCTGAATCAGGCAAGTTGATCTAAATTTCTGGATCCATGATTGTGATTGTGATTATGCGGTTAAGCATGAAGCATGATCTGTCTTGCTTCAGGCAGACCTTGACAGGTGACTGGAGGTGTGGTTGAGGCATGGCCCCGCTCCCAAACCAAAGTTAACAGATAAACTTCATTTAAAACTAAAGGGGACTGTGCTTTTGAGGTTGTGGTTCCTAAATTGTGGAACTGTCTCCCTATGGACTTAAGATCTGTTGACACCATGGACACCTTTAAAAAGCAGCTTAAGACCCATTTGTATTTATTTCTGTTGTGTGGTGTTTTACGTCTGTATGCATTATTTCTTTTGTGAAGCACTTTGTGATGGCTCTTGAACGATGCTATATATGTAAATAAAGTTACTTACTTACTTACTTATCAGTCACCCTGGAGCGTCCTTATTGGTTTTACAGGACAGGTTCTGCATTCCATTGCTTGGATTGGCACAAAGCACTCAGGTTCCCGTCAGGTTGGGGAGAATGCCATCTCTTTTGAAAAGTTCCTTTTTCTCCAAAAAGAGGTTAAAATTGTCAATGAAAGTCACCTGATGTTTTGCACAGGCTGATGAAAGCCGTGTATTAAGGTGGAGTATTCTGTTGAATGATTCAACTACTCTATTCAGTGTTGGAATGGGGTCTGAGATGAATTGCTTTACTCTCCAAGTATTCTCCAACTATTTTCAACTGGTTGGAAAAATTTTAACGCCTCGGATTACTGTGATTTAGGGGGGATATCCTAAATTCCTGCATAAACTATTATTCTGTCTTTGGCAGATTTAGTGTTGAGAATATGAGATATTTGTTCTGTTGCCTATTTCACCATTGCATTGCGAATTAAAACATTAACTGGTTATTGAATCACCAATAAGGACAGTTCAACCATTCGTCTTCGTTTAAAGCAGCAGAAGACAGCTGTTTAAAGCTCTGATAAAACCACTGTACACTATCTGCTTGGCACCAAACAGCAGAGAGACAGAGCTGACAAGTCATTTACGTATAAGTTTCTGAGTGGGCCAGACAGAAGATATTGGGGTACTGATATTATGATCTACTGGCCCATTGTGGGTGGTTACTGGCCCAGATGGGGTGGGGTAGAGCGGTTTTAATATGATTGGCTATGTCAATCAGTCACACACTCCACTTCAGAACATGATGAAACGTTTTAAATGCAGACCTAACCTCTGGGTTAATGAAAGAAAAACTACTAAAATGATCAATTTTGGCCCTGTAATTCTATCTAGTTACTGTCTAGTTGAAATTAATCTATTACTACGACCGCTGCTACTTTTCCCTGACTAGGACTTGTATCCTAATAAAGGTATACTGGCATCCCGACATGATGTACTAATATTAAATACTATCATTTAATAATAAAATACTGGTAATGTTATGTTTTAGTGGTATCCTAACATAATATTCTGATCCTAATCCTAATCCTAATCACTCATCTAGGCTGAGGATAATCCTGCTGTTGACAGAGATAGCCAGGGCCAAGAAGTCAGTGCCCGTTAAAATGTGGATTTTTTTTTTTTTACAAGGCCCAAAGCAGAAGCCTTAGACCATTTCTTCAATTTTGTAGTACAGTCTTGACAAATGCTTTGTACAGAGAATGGGCTGACCGGGAAAAGATTCCTGGGCCACTTTTTTGCCCCAGTCCACCCCTGGTGTCCTCAGAGTTTGAAAACCTCTAGGAGCTAATTAAAAAGTTTGAAGCTAATAGAAGAGATAGCCTGGATTTAATATCAGGACTTCAGCTTCCTATACTCTGGGGAAACCACTACACCTTTTTACTATTGGTAATAAAAAAGTAAACTATGGCTCATTCAAGTCCAGCCTGGACTGCAACCTTTCAGTCATGTTCCCATCCTTATCACAAAGAAATTTTGCATAAAACCAAAGTAATGCAGAATTCATAATCTTTATTTTACATAAATGACACCACTCCCACACCCTTGCATCCTCTTCATATACATGTATACAAAAACTTTTATTGCACATGAAACGTAGTCAAGTTCTTATTGAGTGTATCATGTTGGCCAGCAGAAGAGGACATCAATGAAAGAAACACAAAACGTGTCTCACCATAAATTTATTACTTTACATCGATAGTCATTAGTTCTGCAACAAAATTCAATAACTGTCATTTAATGCATTATACATCCTTCACCAATTAGCTTTCAACCACAAAGATGTGATTAACGGGGTGATGAAAAAACATACACCTTCTATGGCATATCTGGTATGATATGACATATACATTAAAATTACACATGTAAGTTTACAGTGGCTTTCTTCTCCTGCCCATCAACACTGCTGTAAAAATGTTTACTGAGTTAGATTTTCTACTGAGAGGATAAATCCGATTGTACAGTTAAGATATAGAATTACAAACAGCATTGTGGTAGTGTGTAAGAGTCCATGTAGAGAGAACTGATAGCAAGGTGAGACAATTTACTGAGGCATTTGAAAGGATGTGTACATAGCTGCTGTCTGGGAATCCTCAGATTTCTGTCACTTTTGAACATAGAGTTTTGAAGTTGTTGTCAGTAATATTTGCACAATATAACCAGAACATATCTCAGCAAGTGCTGTTACTGCTAAATGGCAGTCACTCTCATTCTCTTTGACTTCAGTGGCTGTTGAGGTTTCAACATTTCTATTCAGACAAGATGGTCCTCTTCACACTCCCAGGCTAAGTTCCAAGACAAACAAAATGCATACTTTCACCAATGCTGCACAGAGCTCTAAAGATGATTTTATCAAACATTTGGACAAAGATAAATTGACACGTTAACATGAGTCAGACTTGTCACCACTAAGTTATGGCCATTTAAGTGTATGCTATTTTAGTGCCACCTTCATTTGTTTGAAATTGTCCAGTGCATTCAAGAATTTATGGCCATTTATAATGAATACTTTATGCCAACAAGAAATAGACCATAACATTATAGCCTAAAGCAAAAGCCTGTATATATGGGGATATTTACGATTGGATGAAATAGTGGGAAATAGTGGACTGCAAATAGTGGAAGTTTTTTTTTCTTTCAACTAAATACAAGTGATGAAATTATACATGCGAGTGCATGTTTGTGCTTGGCAAGATCATCAGTGTTACTGCAGACGAATGCTTTTAATGTTCCAGCTGAGTTTTGCCTTCCAGCCTTACATCATCCTTGTGCTGTTATCTCCATTGTTCCCAAGCTACATTCACAGAAACATATTCTGGTGGATCTGAATGCTTAACAGTTTGAAGTTATAATCTTTTAGATTTTATCAGCTCCTGTTTTTCAAACTATTTAGGGCATGGGTTGTATTGAACTCTGTTTCCAAGGGAAACAAGGGATTCACAGGACATGATGATTTATGTACTGGACGTCTGATCAGTATTATCATGTCCATGACAGTCTTCTTTTTATTAAAATTGCATGTCACCTTATCAGCCCATGTTAGTTTGGCTGTGCAATAAATCGATACACCTGTTATTCTTCTAAATGCGCAAAGATGTGTTTGCTGCACCTATTGGTCAAAACATGTGTACCTTACAGAACTCTGGGACATTTTTATTTTTTATTTTTGTGCATCCAAAAATCTCAAATTAGCTGAATTTAAATACTACATGGCCAGAAGGACAGTCATGTTCGGTATAATCATGTAATACTGAGTCATGCGGTTGTTGGTTGTGCCAGTTCCTTAGTCAGAATTTAAAAAAGAAGTCTTCCTCACATCCCCTCTCACTGAGGCTTTTGTCTGTTTATGGAGATTACAGTACTGTGTGGCTTATTTTTTGACTTTACCATACTGCTGAAAAAACTTAATTCATAATATATTTGTTATTTTATATATGAAGGTTTATAGGCTGCACAGACAATATGTTGTTATTCCAGCTGGTGTATACTGCATGTAATTTGTCTGAGTTGTGGTGATCCCAACAACACATCATTACTGGTGCCTGGTGGCCCTAGAGCAGCTAGAGAGGACAGCAACCTAAGGCAACAGGCTGGCAGAGCAGGCAAATGTGATCACACTGGAAAAAAGAAATGAATGAATGATGATGTACAGATTAGGCTCAGCTGCACATACATGCATTTGTGCTGTCCCTTCATTTTTCTCTTCTGTCCTCCTTATACTTTATTGTCTGTGCCCAAAGTCAGGAAAACAAGCATTCCAAGTCCACTGACTCAAATCTTCATGCCAAGCTTGGCTTTCTGTAGAAAGGACACATTACAGAGGTTAAGTGCAATACACATGTCTATCATCTTACTATATGCTATAAAAAACAACAAGAGTAGGGAACTTAAAATTAATTTTGAAGTGAGATAAATATTAGGGTAACCCACTGTTTGGTCAAGTTCTTTGGACTTGACAGAGAGATAATAGCACTCAAAGAGATAATTTCAGTTAAAACGCTCACAATGGAAGTTAGAGGTATGCTGGCTTCACTACTGGTAGCACAATTTCCCATCATGTCTTGTATTAGTAGCCAGCACTGATCGCCATCTTTTGTAAAAAATTTAAATAAATTAAATTAACTGTTCAAGAGACTCTGCAAGTGATAGTGGCCTTAATCATGTGACCTTAACCAGCCCATTTCCCCTGTCTGAAGCTAATTAGTGCTCATTGGTCCTGCAGTGAAAAAAACGGAGACTAAACCAACCAGAGCAGTAAAAGCTGAAGTGGGCTAAGTTTAGAAGTTTAACGAGTTTCCTTCCCTTTGGATTACATGTGTGCATGAAGCCTGTTTCACCTGCCTTCATGCTTCCATGGATAATTAAATTACCACATTAGCTAATCATTCTAGAAGCTGCTCTTTAAGTTTGTCACGAGTGGCTTAAATGCTGTTAACATGTTATGTTGCTTTCACATAATATGTACATTGCTAGGAAAGCCTAAACATAAATGTCATTCTCTGTAAATATTAAAGTGAAGTGAAGGTTAAATGTGATTGTGACCCTTTGTCTTCTTTCTCCATACTGGAGCTAACTTAGTGCTCATTTAAAGCTTGTAACATGAAAAGGTCAACTTACAATGCCAGAGGCGTGTTTAGGTTTGACGCTATAGGAAGCCTTCTCCTTGGCCTGTCGGAAACACTCTTCTGCTGCTTTTAACCTGCAGAACACATAATGTTGATACAGTTAGTCAGTACACCAGCTCTATTAACCACGTTTACTAACTTAGCAGCTCCAATTATGTAATGTCATGTTGGTAATCCATTTGGCTGGTCTTCATTTTGCATTTATGACCTTTAATCTTGATCTTATTTAAAGTAGAAAGTAAAAAGTATTTTTATTTTGTTTTTAAAGAAAGAAAGAAGGAAAATGGAACAGCAGCAGTTTCTAGAGCAGCACATGTTACCTCTCCTTGAGAATGGCTTTGTTCTCCTTCTTCCACTGGTCCTTGAAATCAGAGGAGAACTCGTGCCAGATGCAGAAGACAGTATTGGGTGAAACCTCCTTCTCTCCTGCCTTGGCCTTCACTGAAAAGAACACTGTGAGCTCCAGGAACCTGACAGGACACAATAACAAGTTTACTTATTGACATTCCTTTTTTACCCATGAGTAAATATGACACTGAAAAACAAACCGTGCTGATGTTTCAGTGACTGCACACTTTGAGTATATGTGAAGACCAGAAGCCCTACACCCATGATGTTCACTGACCCACAGAAAAATTTGGGTGAAACTGAAACTGGGATTGAAAGTACATTTTGAGGCTAGAATATGAGTTTGCGCTTGCAAGCATATTTGTCACTTTCGAGACCTCCACAGCTTAGCATGGTTGCTTGGGAGACCTGCCAATCAAAACAAATTAAAGTTAAAAAATATGCTAATAAAAGAAGTCAATTTAATTTACCCCCTACAGGGGTGGATATATTACCAAAAATGGATGTGGACAGCAGACATGCTTGTGGTTTATAGGCAACATGTATGTTGATGTGACTGAAGTCCTGAGTTGTGGCCATGTAGTTCCCAAAAGTATTATTTGAACGTTACCTGGGGAAAACAATGGGGGAAATCCTACCATATATGGTGTATATATTTATCTAACAACTTGTTACCAGTTCCACCAAAGAGACAGTTCTTCATTTTTAAATCCAAAAGAGTTAATATAGGGGAAAAGTCCAAAAACTGAAAACAGATTTATGTATCAGAACTTTTTCTTTTTTCCTCTGACAATAATCATCTTCTAACCCCTCAGATTTATCTGGTAACCTTTGAAGGTGCCTGACCCCTAGGTTGGGAACTAATGGAGTAATGGAGAGGACAGCAACCTAAGGCAACAGGCTGACAACCCCCCTGCTGTGACATCTGGTTGGGTGAATGCTTGGTGCATTTTAGTTTTGCCTCTCTCTCTCTCTCTCTCTCTCTCTCTCTCCCCCTCCCTCCTTTCCAGTGAAGTGTGGGTGTACCAGGCTATCCTGTTTTGGCACTGTTCCTCGCCTGCTAGCAATCGGCATCCACATGCCTGATCAAGACTCAGCCTGCTGACATAAAGGCCAGACATCCAGTCATTGTTGAGTCTAATCTAGTATATCTAGAAAACTTGTACTGACCCAGCCCCCTTATTTTGCTCATTGCCAGTATTTCCGCCTGCCAGCCTTGTCCACCACAACTCTGGTTGAAGCCCAGAGTTCTGCATATGCAGACCCCTAATGTATCAAAGCATGGGCGCGTCTGCGTTTTCACTGAAGTATTGATCAAGGCTTTAGCTATAATTTATGCTGTAATGTTAATGTAAACATAAGATATATGGCCAGCTGATGGATGAAGTGCATTGACCACAGTGTTATGTACTGTGGAGATCACAGCTCTCCTCAGAATTCACTGGTACAACAGCATTGCTGTCAGGGATGCAGACAGTTGAAATAAAACAGATAAAGGAGGTTGTTCTTACAGTTTGTGAGTGCTGCTGAGTTGAGCTTCGAGGGTCTCCAGTTCACTTTTAGCTGAGAAAGAAGGACGAATACAAGAGGTCAATACAAAACATGAAACATTAGCAAATACTTGAGTCTGTTGTTATCAACTGCCACTAAACGGCCTGTCCCATAGATCTTACATTGATTTGATGTCACAAGTCACAGCTTTTCTAGAATTTGGGTAATAATAATGGCCACTTGGATGTGATGTATTCGGCTCTTGTAATACACCTATGGTTTTTGTCCAAATGTCTCATCAGACAAGAATATGACAAATTCTTCAAATTCATTAACTTAGCTGACACTTATAGCGACTTTCAGGAAGTGCATTTTCAACCATGTGGATACAATGTGAAGATGGCAAGATTCATGTAAGTACTTCAACTTCATCAAATATGCTAATCAGTGGTATGCACAGCAGCAAATTTTGTCCATACAGATGGAATTCATTGTTGGTTTGAACATTAGGGCTTGGTGGCATGATATCTTTCCACTACTGTTGTTAGACTGACATTTAATTTAATTTTCATTTCATTTAATGTAACTGCCTGTATAAACCACGCCCACTTCAGGTTGTATGTCTGGTACACACAGTGTGTTTTGGTGATAAACACTAAATGTAAATTTTGTCAACAATAAAACAAAACAGGACATCTTTGAGTTTACGCTACTAAAACAATTGGTTGTGGTTAGTTACAAACATTTGGAATTGGAAACCCCCTTACCCCCACTTTCTACCTCACTAGATAAAGAACACACTACTTCCTGTCCTGGCACGGCATGTAAATTGTTAGGTGCAGATTATATGAATGTTATTCAGATAATGGGGCTGTTTTGTCAGTTACCTTCTGCGAGGAAGTCCTCCATCTTGTCTTTAAAAGGCTGCAGGTTATCCTCGTCTGAAACTTTGCACACTTTTTCCACTTCTGACGTACACGCTGATAAAATAATTGAGACAGAAATTACAATCAAGCCAAGAGCACATTTTGTGTAAAATACAAGTAAACAAATATTACAGTATGGTAAACCAAGGGTGGTTAGATGCCCAGGTGCTGTGTAAGTTGCAAAGTACAAGCAAAAAAGCTTTAAGGACAAAACTTGTGTAGAAGCACCATGTGTAGAAGTTTAAAGTCTCCAAATTTGGTACTTCCCCAATAGTATCACAAATGACACTGCAGTAGGGTCACGTTTAGTCAAGCGAGTAAGCAGAACATCATGGGAGTGGGCCCAGACACACACACCAAGGCAGAGCAGGTTCTGTTAAATGGTGTTTTATTAATAATAAAATAAAAGCTGTACAGGCTTCTAGTGAGGCAAGGGTCCAAAACATGCAAACAGTCCACACAGGTAAGAAATCTGAGGTAATAGACAATAATCAACAAAATAAAACTGATAACGACTCCAACAGCAGACGCCAATTATGATGTAAACTGTGTACTGAATGTGTGTGTGTGCGTTACCTCTCAGGTCCTTCCTGAATCGAGTCAGATCTTTCTGAAAGTCTTCAAACTTCATCTGTGAAGCCTGAAACAGGTCGTGAGGCTCAGGGAGAGGGTACACACATGTCTCTCTACCAGCATCCTGGTGAGGAAGAAGAAGAGTTACTGTGGGGAGAGATTTTAGAGTGATGCTGCCCAAGAGCTGTAAGTGGTTCCAGGCCTTGCTCAAGGGCACCTCAGCAGAGTCCAGGAGGTGAACCGGCAACTCTCCAGCTACCAGTACACACTGTACTGTGGTACCCTCTGGTTCCTAAGCCAAGTCAATACAGACAGAGTTTCTGCTGCCATGGACAGACAGGCAGATACACACATTCATACATATTAACATTATGACATTAAGCCAAGTCAGTTTTATTTATACAGCCCAATATCACAAATCACAAGTGGGGTTTTGCAATATGTACAGTATACAACACACTCTGTCTTCAGGCTACCCCCAAAAAACCTTTAACAGGGAACACAAGTGAGGAAAGCTCATGATGAGCAATAGAGGAGAGATCCGTCTCCTAGGCCAGACATAAACAATTAGGACATTAATCATAAATGTCTGAAACTATTTTAGGACCACCACACACATCATTATTAGCTTACTGGATACTAATGCAGTAAATATAAAATATGAACTTTAAGAGATTGTTAGGATTTGGTTTTGTGCTGTTGTTTATTCCTGTGTTTATTTGATATTGTCATGGTTTGGAGTTTTGTAGTCTAGTTTATTATCAAGTTTTCTTAGTAACTATCTTGTCTCTCATTGTAGTTCTTAGTCCCGTGCTTTAGTTCATGTTTAGTGTTTTCTTGGTCGATGTACTTCTGTGTTTTATTACTTATGGCCTGTGTCTTTGTCCTTAGTCTTTTATCTCCATGTTTTAGTTTGGTCCTTTCCATGTCCTGATTTTGCAGTTGCTCCATGTTTTACTTTGGTAGATCTGTCCTTGTGTGTTCCGTGAACTTCACTTCCTGTTTTGTTTTGTAGATCTGCTTTCCTAGTAGCTCTGAATATAATCTCTGTGTGAGAGGATAACTGATATGAGAGTATATACAAACCTGGACTAAAAAAAGCAATGGTCAAAGGTAAGAGTCTAAAAAGAGAGAGTTACACTGTGCGTATAATAATTACAAAGCTTACCTCATCGAAGTGTCTGAGGTAGTATGCAACGATGTAAGACAGAAGACTTTTCATACTGTCCTGCAAGTAGAGAAAAGGAAAAGAGTGGAGAAGTCATGTGTTTGTAGTGTTTCTTTGTGACTTTTCCTCTGTTGCCCACTCCAACCTGTGTAATTTAGGGGTAATATTTTATCAAGGCTTGTTGTTCAACCCCCACGTTAAGGAGCTCAACAGATCTTGTATTTCTGAAATATTAGTAAACTGAGCTCTGTAGTTTCAACTGCTGAACCAGAGGTGCTTATTCACACCTTTTACCGCTACTCGCATTGACTACTGTAACGCACTTTTCTCCTCATAATCCAGACAGCTGCCGTAAGGCTACTCACTAGGACAAATAGACGGTCTCATAAAATCCCCATATGGAAATCTCTTCCCTGGCTTTCTGTTGGGTATAGGATCCAGTTGAATTCTCACTCTTACTTACAGAGCATTGCAGAGTCAGGCTCCTGCATATGTGGCTAAATCACTCCTCATCAGATCTGTATAATTGCTTTTGGAAAGCACTTTGTGACCTATGTCTTTGAAAAGTGCTACAAAAATAAGAGTTGTTTTTTTTTTTTCAAGCACTCCAAAGTCAATAACGGTTTATTTTTCCCATGTGAGCAAAAGCTAGGAGTCCCTCAACAGCAGAGCAGTTAAAATGTGGACCCCAGAGCACCATATTTAGTTTAATGTGTTTAATTTACTTTTTAAAAAATTGAATTGCATAAGACACCTTGTAATTTGGTTATTGATTGAAAAATGATTGTGTTTATATTATTTTACCTAACTACTACCCAAGACTATGAGTGTCCAACTGTTATGAGGCCTGGGTCTGCAACTGCAATGCCAAGCACATCACCACTAAACGGAGTTGTCAGTCACTGCACCAATGCTTTTACACTGGAAACTGAACATGAAGGATGGTCCATAGGATGCTGTATAACTTCGCAGGATTTCTTTTAACTCCCTTGAGAAAAGTCTGAAAACATCTCCTCTACAACAATGTCCACACATTTTTGTAATTGAGAAGATCATAATTTACAGCTGACAAGTCACGTCATTGCTAGCTACTACTAGGTTATTCAAGTACAGTACAACACACGGCAAGAACTTTTGTTCCCCTGGATATGAGGAGTAAAACCTGTCCTGAGCATGAATCAGCTCAAATCGCCCATGTCGACTTACTTATGTCAAATGGTAGTATGTGTTTTATTTGAGTCCTCTTTTCAAGGTGGAAGGGACACTGTTGATGAAGATTGTTTTCATAGGACTAGACAGAAGATGTGAGAGCTGGAGCATGATGAATATTATTTGGATTGCTAAATCAAAGCAGTTTCTTGTTAGTGCTTTTCGTCTGTGAGAGAACGATGGCCGTCCCACATTACTCTGTAGGCTTAACAAATGTTGGGAAGTTATAAGAGTCCTGATCTGAGCTGACGGAGTTGGGTGGGCTAAAAAGAATAATTTAATTCTATTTACACCCTTAAAGCACACAGAGGGGACAGATTAAAATTTTGTGTTGAAATGTGTAGAAATGGCGTATACTAGATGTGTCCATAAATATAGGGTCAAGCAACACTGCAAACTACAAAAAAGTTAGAAAGATGTGTAATGTTAACACATTATTTTTAAATTACACAAATATAGTCAGCATAAAAAACATGTAGACTGTAAGCCTCCAGGTCCAGGGTAGAAGAGCAGCATTTTGAGTTTCAGCATCTTTTCCTCTTTACTCACACTGCTCTTGACATCTTTCAGTTTGGGCAGGATGTCGAGGGTGAAGCCATCAGCTTGGCCTCTGGTTCGATTACCACCATTCATGAAGTTACCAAAGGCCAGAACTAGACCTAGAACCTTCTTCACTGTCTCGCTGTGCTGCAACGCCTGCAGAGGAAACAGAAGTGTGTGGTTCAGAGATGAGACAAAGTGAGAGCGAGGAGAAAACACGTATTGACAAAACTGCTAAAAGGTCTACACATTTGAGAGATTCTTTCCATAGCGGAAACATACACATCAAATCTCTAGAAACTATTGTTCATTTTGTCATGAAATGAAAACCTTTATAAAGAGAACAGAGCACCATGTTTAGCTGGTTCAGTGTTACTGCTGAGAGCTCAGCTCGATGATGACACTTTGATTCATCTGCTGTATATGCAAGAACAGCTAATGCAATGGTTGAATGGAAGCGGAGTGAAGCAGCTAGCCTGGCTATGTCCAAAGTTCAGGAATTATAAAGCTCACTGATTGATTTGTTTTATTTGTTTAATCTGTGCACAAGCAGAAATGTCAAAAACAACTATTTCTGGTCATGCTGAAACTATTTCCTGGCACAGGGATTTTGTGCAGTTTCCCAGAGTCTTGGCGTCACACTGAGGTAGCCAAACTGTGCGTACCTGCCAGAGATGCTGCTCCTAGGCAAATGGATAAACAGTTATTTGTCAAAAAAAGAGTTCCTGCATGTAACCTCCTCTAAAACCACAAATTGTTGTATGAATACAGATTAAATGAATTAATTAGCGAGTTTCAAAAGTTTTGGTATGTTACTTTGACACCTACGAGGATAACTTGAGCTAACATTTCCTGAATCTGCGATTATGCAATTATGTATTCATGCACCTCATGTCTGTGTATTAGGTACAGATATCAATCTTCTGATCTCACTCAACCACATAAACCTATTTGGATGATTAGCCTTGTAATCTCAACAGTTCCCATTCTCTGCCTGCATAATATGCAGTGGGTTTATTTTCCTCAGTTTGGAGAGTTCGACTCACCTTGCATACCCTCTGCAGTGTGTCCAGTTTCCTTATTATGGACGACGTGCACTCAGAGAAGCTGGACTGGAAGAGGATGCAGAAGACTCTGCCAGAGAAGTTTGGGATCAGGGAGAGCTGGTAGAGAAATCTGCAACACAAGAACAGATACCAGCTGCATTGGATCTAACCCATGGCTTCTGCCCGCTTCAGAGTCTTCACAGAACGACACAGCATTCATCATTATGCTGTGTCATTAGTGTTGAAGTGTCAAGAGGAATAACATCGACTCACTGCTCGGGTTTGTCCAGAGGTTTGGCGTTCTCCTTGTCTTTTGAGGACTTGATGTGCTTTTCAATCTTGTCCAGCTCCTCCTGTTGTGCCCTCTGAGAGAGAGACACAAGAGCCTGACTCCAGCGGTGTCCACATTCATACAATTCATCATAACAGTAGAAAGTTTGACTGAGTTATAGAAGAAGTGGGATTTTTGACGAAAATTGCGACGGTAGGGAGGTACATGGCCATATACAGTTATATCAGTTCAGAATTTGAACACCCTGCTATTTTGCAAGTTCTCCCACTTAGAAATCATGGAGGGGTCTGAAATTGTCATCGTGAGAGACATAATCTAAAAAAAAAAATCCAGAAATCACAATGTATGATTTTTTAACTATTTATTTGTCTGATACAGCTGCAAATAAGTATTTGAACACCTGTCTATCAGCTAGAATTCTGACTCTCAAAGACCTGTTAGTCTGCCTTCAAAATGTCCACCTCCACTCCATTTATTATCCTAAATTAGATGCACCTGTTTGAGGTCGTTAGCTGCATAAAGACACCTGTCCACCCCATACAATCAGTAAGAATCCAACTACTAACATGGCCAAGACCAAAGAGCTGTCCAAAGACACTAGAGACAAAATTGTACACCTCCACAAGGCTGGAAAGGGCTACGGGGAAATTGCCAAGCAGCTTGGTGAAAAAAGGTCTACTGTTGGAGCAATCATTAGAAAATGGAAGAAGCAAAACATGACTGTCAATCTCCCTCGGACTGGGGCTCCATGCAAGATCTCACCTCGTGGGGTCTCAATGATCCTAAGAAAGGTGATAAATCAGCCCAGAACTACACGGGAGGAGCTGGTCAATGACCTGAAAAGAGCTGGGACCACCATTTCCAAGGTTACTGTTGGTAATACACTAAGACGTCATGGTTTGAAATCATGCATGGCACGGAAGGTTCCCCAGCTTAAACCAGCACATGTCAAGGCCCGTCTTCAGTCTGCCAATGACCATTTGGATGATCCAGAGGAGTCATGGGAGAAAGTCATGTGGTCAGATGAGACCAAAATAGAACTTTTTGGTCATAATTCCACTAACCGTGTTTGGAGGAAGAAGAATGATGAGTACCATCCCAAGAACACCATCCCTACTGTGAAGCATGGGGGTGGTAGCATCATGCTTTGGGGGTGTTTTTCTGCACATGGGACAGGGCGACTGCACTGTATTAAGGAGAGGATGACCGGGGCCATGTATTGTGAGATTTTGGGGAACAACCTCCTTCCCTCAGTTAGAGCATTGAAGATGGGTCGAGGCTGGGTCTTCCAACATGACAATGACCCGAAGCACACAGCCAGGATAACCAAGGAGTGGCTCTGTAAGAAGCATATCAAGGTTCTGGCGTCGCCTAGCCAGTCTCCAGACCTAAACCCAATAGAGAATCTTTGGAGGGAGCTCAAACTCCGTGTTTCTCAGCGACAGCCCAGAAACCTGACTGATCTAGAGAAGATCTGTGTGGAGGAGTGGGCCAAAATCCCTCCTGCAGTGTGTGCAAACCTGGTGAAGAACTACAGGAAACATTTGACCTCTGTAATTGCAAACAAAGGCTACTGTACCAAATATTAACATTGATTTTCTCAGGTGTTCAAATACTTATTTGCAGCTGTATCATACAAATAAATAGTTAAAAAATCATACATTGTGATTTCTGGATAATTTTTTTTTAGATTATGTCTCTCACAGTGGACATGCACCTACGATGACAATTTCAGACCCCTCCATGATTTCTAAGTGGGAGAACTTGCAAAATAGCAGGATGTTCAAATACTTATTTTCCTCACTGTACCTTGAATCAAAGCAGGATTACCACCTGGCCAAAACAGGCTCTGGAGCTTTAGTGGTCCCAGACCCCTATGGACCCCCAAAGCTTCTGATTGATTCTGTTTCTATCATATTGGACTGTGGAGAGTGTGTGTTACTCACATTTTCATACAAGGCCTGCAGGGTCTCCAGGTCAACTATTGTGTTGTCCATGTTCAGGATGGCTTAAAGACAGAGAGAGAGAGAGAGAGTGAGGCCACAGGTCACCACTGCTAACACTGATCACTGTATTCAGTATAAAACGTTCTTCTTTAATTATATACATTATGAACAACAACAATGGAAAGAGGGAAAAAGCTGCAGGAAAAGACTGATGGATGAAAGAGATGGAAAAGTGTCAGATGGAGATTCAGAGAGTGAAAGCAGGAAAAGATAAAATAACGCAGAAACAGAAAGAACCCGGAAGAAGAAAGAGGCGATGTGATAGTTTATCACAGTCAAGGCTCAGACTTTCAAGGTCAGGGTTTTTCCTTCAAAATAAAAGGGAAGAAAATATTTGACTATAGTGCCTCTCTGCTAAAATGTTGTGATTACATGCAGCACAAGATATCAGGAGATGCATAATATGATAAACTGGTTCCAAGCACAGAGGACCACACGTAAACATATGTTTTGGAGGATCACTGAATCCTGGTAGATAGTGTTTGGGTTGTGTGCATAGACTAATACTGCAAAGTGTACAGCAATTTACAGTAATGATGTTAATATATACAGAGTCAGCATTGATAACCCCAAATGACCATACGGTCAGTAAAATGTGATTGTCATATCACAACAACTGTTTGGGAAACATGTACTGAACAGCGGAAGCTAAATATCTTTGCCTTCAAGCAGGGCTGGACTGGTAATCTGGCATACCGGGCAAATGCCCAGTGGGCCGACGCACCTTTGGGGCTGGTGTAACGTAAATTATTTATTTATATAACTGTTTTTTAAAAATGGGCCAACGATCGGCCCATAAAGCACGGACAGCAGCCCATAGGCAACTGACACTGGGCTGGCCAAATCACATCTCTTACTAGCCCCCACCCCCTCTGCTCTCTGTTCCTTGTGTCACGAGGTCACGAGCCACAAATAAATCATTCTTAAGACGAAGGCCGCCAAATGCGCAAAAATAACCGATTATTTGCTACTGGGGCTGCAATAGCTTCAACATCAGCTGCAGTACCCTGCGCAGAGCAGGCACAGGCACTTGAAGGAGTAAAAGAGCTGTGGCCACTGCCAGGCAGAGGAGGAGGCGTGTGTGAAACAGAGGGACAAAGTGACAAGGCCGAGTGAGAAAGTGAGCAGGAGGAGAGTGGAGGTGAAGCGGTAAGCATGGAGTAGCTCAGCCTGTAAGGAGGGAACAGGGAGGGAGGGTCATTTACACTGGGGATGCTGGGGACATGTAGCCACCACTTTTTGAAAGCATTTGTTACACAAAATAAAAATAATAAGCTACTGATTACTGCATTATATTTTATTATATTTTTACATTGTGAATTGTCACCTGCCACCTGAATTTCGTGCTTCCCTTCATAAAAATAAAGACATTTCCACCACAAAGTGGTGCAGAAAATGTCTCCAGAATGCAGGAAATTACGTGTTTAATGTTTAAAATCTTTAAATAAATAGTAGGTCTATTAAAATATATTCTTGTCTTGTAGTCATGGACAACAATCTTGTGCAATGTCACGTCTCAGTGTTTCATCACACCCCTAATCTGACCCCCTAAATAGAACGATGGTGTATTGGTGATGGGTGTCCGACTGATTTTGGTGGGCCCTGCCTTCAAGACTTTTATTGGCACAGGTTTATGTCATGATTAGATGAATATCCATCCACTAAATATTCACGCAGATACGTAGGTAAATAATATTGAGAGCTTACTTGTGAGGAACTTTCTCATCCTTTTAATGGAGTTATTTTCTTATTTAGCAAAAATAGTTTTGGATATAGGAGGGCTGAATGAGACTAAATGATCTTTTGCTCAGTGTACCCTGTGTCATACACCTGGGAATAAGAACCCTGTATTTACAAATAACTGCAGCTAACAAACTGATGAACTCACCATGCTGGATATCTTTCATGTCAAGATGCAGGGAGGACATGAGGATTCCTACTGCCTGAGAACGCTTGTTGTTTAGGAGCTTCACAACCTACAAAACATACAGATGTGACGTGAGATTCAATAGCTCAGATGTAGCGTTGCCATTGCAGCACAACCTGTATGTCACATGCTATACTGCTGTGCATTTGATTTGCATTTTACTGATATCAATTCAACTAAATTTAGTTTAAAATATATAGTGCCAATTCATTACAAAAATGATCTAATTGTACTTTTCATATAGAGTAGTTCCACATATACCAAAGACTATGCTGTAACTGCAAAATATCTGTCAAACTGATTAAGGTTGGCAGTAAGGATAAAACTAATTATATATATATAAAATGACATCATGGTAACAGGACTGAAAGTCTAAAGACACACATCACTGTAACACACATTATTGAAGTAAAGGATGGAACAAATAGCTTCTGTGAGAGGAAAGGGCAGGCCTAACCAAAATGGTTAGAAATCATGCTCTATATATCTGTATTTTGACATACACAATTATGTTCTTTTAACAGTATTACACAGTATGTATGATGTGGGTTCAATATATACAGTGGATCATTTACAGTATCTCACAAACCTGAGGACACCCCTCACATATTTGTAAATATTTGATTAAATCTTTTCATGTGACAACAATGAAGAAATGACACGTTGCTACAATGTAAAGTAGTGAGTGTACAGCCTGTATAAGAATGTACGTCTACTTTCCCCTCAAAATAACACATCACTTTAATTTCCAAACCGCTGGTAACAAAAGTTAGTACACCCATAAGTGTAAATGTCCAAACTGGGTCAATATTTCGAATGGCCACCATTATATAAGGACATTTTTGATTCAGCTGTACATGTTGCCGAGCAGCTTGGCAACATGGACTGGAACAAGAGTTTCAGAGTGTTGAGTTATTAATCTGTAACAAAAGTATCTTTCATCCATAAAGTTTTAACTGAGCTCTGTCTCTACATCACAGGAACAACTTTATGTCCACTGACTGCCTGGAGGGTAGCTAGTGTTTGGAAGGGAGAGGAAAGCTGTGCTGCAGCTCACTGTTTTTCCTCCTGTGTTTTTGAGGGCGTGTCAGAGTAGCCGCTTGGCGAGCGTTATATGAGGCGAATTTATGCTGCGTTCCAGGCAACTCAGAGCTGGCAAATTTCTGACCTCCAACTAGAAAAACTATCCTAGAACGCCACCTGAAGTCAGATTTCCTACTTTTGAACTCGGAGAAAATATTTGTACCCCGACTTCACGAGTAGCAGCCGAATTACATCACAAAACAATGTCAGCGCACGGAAGCACACCGTAAACTAAAAGGCAGCAAGTATATTTGCATGTATTTAAATTAATAATAATACATACAATCATATAGTAAATCTTGCGGTAAAACCTGTTCTGCATGTACATTGATGTAGAAATAGGTCTATTAGGTAGCTGGCTACAGTAAAGAATCTCATAAAGTCATCTTCTCTGCATAAAGGTTATTGTTAAAAGTGCCAAAACATTAGGAAGCGTAACCTACAACATTGACTGACTTGAAGGTTACCAACTGATGTAGCTAGAGGGGTACACAGTTAACTAGTAAAGTATAGGCTATTTATGTCAGTTGTTGCAGTTAAACTTCTATCTTTTGAAGTAACACATAAAGCCTTGCTGCACCTGGAACGCTTTGAGGTTGGAAGTCAGATATTTCACTTCCGAGCAGTCTAGAACGCAGCTTTTATCCCTGTGTCGTCTCAGGGATTAAAGTGAAGTGGCTGGACTGTAAACGAGCTGTTTTCAAGCAGTTCAGAGCAGAGTTTTCTGTGGGAGATGGGAACTCCCTTTGGGCTTTTTCACTTTGCAAACCTATTACATGCACAAAAAAGATATATAACTCAATAAAGGAGAGGGAAAAAGCCAAAAAGCATAATACCAACTCTTTAAGAAAGGCACGTTAAAAGGAATAGTTTAAAACATCAGTTGTTGTTGACCTTATACTTGTCACAATACAACGTGCACATGTAAAACAGACTTAAACACACAGACCTGCTTGGCCTTGGACTTGGTGATTGTGTCAGAGAGCGGCTGCTTCTTCTCCTTCACAGCTGTTTTGGAGAACAACTCTACAAACTCCTCAAAGTCCACATCAGGCTCCTCAATAGTCTCCCACACCAGCGAAGTAGAGACCTCCCTGAGAAATACAAAGGGGCACTCACCGATGGCAGGTTCTCAGCAAGTTCTGATGGCAGTGGTTACTCTGCAAGCTGCCTACTGAAAGGTACTAATCATTCACACATTCATACCCTGATGGCACAGACTTCAGGAGCAATTTGGGGTTCAGTTTCTTGGTCAAAGACACTTCGACATGCAGACTGGAGTAGCAGGGAATTGAACTGTGGTTTTGCAGTACTGCATATGTTTGTATGAAGTGCAACTGCGTTTTGTTCCCCACATGTCTGATCATGTGAGGCACAAGAAACTTTACAACTTAGAGGCCAGTAATGGCCTAAAGGCTGTACTGCACGTACACACTGATCCCTCCTAGATCAGGCTATTCCATCATGGCAGGTTATGCATTATTTCACTTCACTTCTGATGTGTTTTATCTAAACATTTGTTCTTTCTGAAATTGTTTAGCATTATTCTTTATTATAGACCACTGGAAAATCCCTTTTGCTCTGTTCTTCAAAGACTGAATATGTTGAGCATGTTTTACTCCCTCAAATCACATATTGTTTACATCACTACTCATTGTTTAAAGCTTGCTACACTGTTGTAGACCACTGAATTTCTTTTCCCCTGCCTTCCATGCAGCTGTTTCCAATTCTAGTACACTATGGAAATTAACTTGTAGAGAGTACATTTTACTTTATTTTGGCCAAATTACTATATCTTCTTGTTGGGCAAATTATATAAAGTTGAGGATGTGGACTACCACAGTACATAATATAAACCTCAGATAGTGGGTAGTGCAGGCAAGAAGCTCTGAAATATATCAGATATCTGAGCTGAGGCTGCTGAACAACAGAAGGAACACAAGTAACACAGATGGATGAAAATGTTCTGTTGTCTAAAGCTGTCAAAATACACTCATCTCTGGATTTATCTAAAAACAAATGCAAATACTCTTCTGTCTTAGAAAATATAGATACAATTTCAAATAGTAACGTTGATAAAAATCACTGCTGTGCATCTACTTTACAGTAAAACAAGAACACTAAACTAGCCTACAACAAAAACCTTCAGAAGAGGATGAAGTTTTAACTCTTAAATGATAAGTCTAGTGATATGCTATATTTTCCTTGTTATCAAACTCCATGTGCAGACAAAAAGCAACACTGAATGTATTTACTACCAAGTATTGTGTGTTTCACAACCTGATATCTCTTCTTCCTCTGAGCCGTAGAGCTCCATTCATGCGTGACATGTTCCTTCATCACCATGAACACACACACTGTAGTTTACCCTGACTCAGTCACACCCACCGTCCTGCTGCCCCAGATATTCACTAGAGCTCCACATGTGGGCACCTTATGTGAGGTGTTTTAAAGAAACAAATGGTGCTGAAGCTGAGAACTTCAGACACAGTGGGGATTAACACATTGTTGTTTTAGGTCTACACATGGGATTTGCTGAAAATGAGACAGAATATCAGCAACCTTATCTTTTAGGTTATTTTGTCTTCAGGTGTCTTTAGGACACTATCGAAGAGGTTTACACCAAACTCAAACCATATCAGATCCTGTCGTTAAACTGAGAGTTCTTTTGTTTGTCTATTTTTACAATTTTCTCGACTGTGTACAATAGATCGTGTTTGGGCTCAAAATGCAAGCAAGTTTAAACAAAGTGCAGCATCATCTTAATGCTATTTGGACTACATCATCTTTACTTTTTGGTGTGCAGCTGGATCCTGGTCCAGTAGAGGGGCTTCATGGGTCTAGGAGGCTCTACCACTGACTTCCTGGGCGGTTTCTCCTGAGTCAGACCCAGAGTGTACAGCCCCAGTGGCAGAGGAGGAGGCAGGAAGCCCAGAGCCCCTGAAAAAGCTGGGGGAACACAGATGGCTCCTGGTGGAGGAGGAGGGGGAGGAGGCCCACAGCCTGGAGGTGGTGGTGGAGGAGGTGGGCCTCCCATTCCTGGTAATGGAGGAGGAGGTGGAGCAATGCCACCAGGGAGTGGAGGAGGAGGAGGTGGCGGTGGAGGGGGTGGTGGTGGAGCAAAGCCACCAGGAAGTGGAGGGGGAGGAGGAGGAGGAGGGGGTGGAGCAATGCCAGCAGGCAATGGAGGAGGAGGAGGAGGAGGAGGAGGTGGAGGAACTGCTGAATCAGGAGGTAATGGAGGTGGAGGTGGAGGAGCTGGCATTGAGCCTCCTGGTAATGGTGGAGGAGGAGGAGGTGCCACAGTCTGTCCTGGTAAAGGATGAGAAGGTACTGCTCCTCCTGGAAGAGGCGGTGGAGGTGGAGGCTGCAGCTGGCATGAACAATGGAAGCCGTCCTGTCTGGGTGGAGGCTGCAGGAAGCCATTGACTCCACCTGGCTCACTACAAGGCACTTTGAACTTAAAGCTGTCGTCCATGGGCGAGGTCTGCACTGACTTGGCCTCCAGGCAACCCAGAGCGGAGCCGGCTTCAGTCTGCAGGTGAGCGTCACACACAGCCCTCAGCACGCTTTCCTCTCCACCACACCACCTCTCTGTGGTGGAGGTGGGTTTCGCACTGTCCCTGTCCAGCAGAGGGGGCTGTCGCTCCAGCTCAGCAATCTTAGTCCTGAGGTCTTCTATGGTTTGTTCCAGCTGTTGGATGACGTTAACATGTTTTTCCTTCAGTTTTGTTGAAGGAAGGACAGATTCCACCTGCAAATAAGAGAGAACCATGAGATATGACAAAAATTAGAATTATGTCAATTAGAATCAGCAAATGAAGAATCACTTTTTATAGTCACTGACAGATCACATTCTAGAGGTCCTCTGAAATAAATGCTGACCCCATGGGACCAAACAAAACCAATGAGGATTCATAAATAGACCACAGAAACATATAGGATGGATATTTAGCTTACACCGACTTAGGACAGAGAACTGAGAATTGAGAATTTGAGAATAAACTTCTAATGTTTGAGAAAAAAGTTGAAAATAAAGTTAATTTGAGAAAAATGTCACCGTATTACTAGAGCATGAACTTTTTTTGGCTTCTGAAGGGGGGGTGACAGAAAAAGTTTGGGAACCAACCTACAGACATTTTGCTAAAAATGATTTCAATTGCTACAGACAATTAAAGTGACTGACCTCTTGGCTTTCCGTCTGTTCTTGCCTCAAACCCAAGATGGCTGCATGGTGTTCTGAACAAACAGACACATCAGCAGGTCAGCACAATATAGTACAATAGAAGCACTTTTCAGAAGACTCCTGTGGGTAACTGTGGACATATCAAAGTATCAAAGTCATTATATGATCAAACAAATAAAGCATGCATCACAGTCAGGTCTGGCATCACATTGGACTCCAGTCTCTGCCAGTGATATAGCCAGCAGCCAGTAGAACACTGAGCAGCAGCAGCATCATCAATTTTTTACTGATAATTACTAATAAAGTGTAACTGTGATCAAATCTTGTGGCTTTATATCTGTATCTTTTAGCTGTAGATGGTCTTTAATAAAGAGTCAATTCACTCCAGGTTGACAGTTTTTTGCTGCCCTTTATTTTGGAGAGTTTCATGTCTGTCTCAGCTGCTGGCACTACTGACACAGCTAATGTGTCACATGGCCTGCCGACCAGTTAACTGTTTCTCTCATCAAATAACCATGTAGTGATGAACTGGGATCTGCTGCAGTATTTTTGACTTGTTGATAAATCAAACAGGACAGAGATAGCAGGATTTGTTATTACAGTAAGCACATCTCAGAATGTTCCTATATGTTACGCTGTACTGTAGCATGAGCTACTGATGGGGAGATTGGCTACAAATGTCTACCAGTAGAATGTACATCTCAAACAGCCATACTGTACATGTCTTTGTTATTCTTTTATGTTTTTTACATCTTGTTGTCTATTTTATATTTATGATTCTTGACCTGCACTTACTTTTTCTTTGTTTTATTTTCTACCTATCTATGTTTTTTGTTATGCACCAAAATATCAGAGCAAATTTCCTTGTATGTGTAAACCTACTGGGGAATAAAGCTGCTTCTGATTCTAAAACTTTTATATCAGCTGGGGCACTCCACCCACCATAGAGCGACAAGTTTATTTCAGGTATAACATTATCATAACAGCTTCCAGCCCACAATATACAGAAATTATTACTAACCTTGATTGTCCTCTAAACAAGTGCCAAAACACAAAGAGGGAGAAAATCCCATTCAGATGAAGATAGGGAAAGGAAAAAAAGAAACAAGCACAAAGGTCAGGGTCCTTACATAAAACTGAATGGACACACACTTGTTCACTGCCTTCACCTCCTTATGTTCTAATTCCCCTTTTAAAGGGTGAGAGAATATTGACGGTGAGGCAGAAAAAACACAGTTAAAATATGTATCTTCAGAATTAAATGAAATACAGATTGTGAATACCAGACAGAGTAAAACAGTCTCCATCAATAATCTCAAAAATCTTACCAGGGATATTAATTAAAGGCATTTCTGTCATGGAAAATGTTTTCTACAGTTTGTTCTACTACACTTTTGAGTTTTTGAGCTTTTGTTTTGAGCTACGAATCTTTTTGAGTGGATTGAAGTTTAATATTTAGTAGTTAAGTATTCAAGTATGTGTTCACATTTAATAATGAGTTCATCTGAGGATCGTCAAGTCATACTGATCCTTCTGAACAACATGGAAACTCCCAATCTTCAGCAAAGGCTGTTGTTGAGCTTCTCTACCTTCTGATATGCTTATTTACTTTCTTTCCAAGAGTGAGAAAAGATGATCAATATCAAACTCATGTTTGTGTGTAGCTCGAGACACAGCACAGAAGTGACGGGCAGATGGATACACTGTTCATGGGGAGCTTGGAGACAGAGTGAGTCATCCACTAATCCGAAGGCCGGGGGTTAAAACCCCAGCTTCCCCCAGTCTGCAAGTGTCGATGGGCAAGATACTGAACAATTGCTCTTCAAGGCTGTGCTGTCTGTGTGTGTGAACTACTGATTGGTTTCTTTCAGATGAGCAGTTGGCACCTTGCATGGCAGCCTCTGCCATCAGTGTCTGAATGTGTGTGAATGGGAGTGAATGTAGTTTAAAGCACTTTTATTTCATTTAATCTTGATGAGTACGGCTTACAGCTCATGGAAATCAAAAATCCATTTCTCAAAATAAAGAATGTATGATACAGAAATGTTGACCTCTGTCTGGTCCTGTGTACACAACCACAATCATGGGTAAGATATCTGACTGACAGTTGTCCAGAAGACACTCATTGATAGGGGTAAGCCACAGAAGGTCATTGCTGAAAGGGCTGGCTGTTCGCAGAGGGGTGTATCAAAGCATATTCATGGAAAGCTGACTGGAAGGATAAAGTGTGGTAGGAAAAGGTGCAAAAGCAACAGGGATGACCGCAGCCTAGAGAGGATTGTCAAGCAGCGCCAATTCAAGAACTTGGGGGAGCTTCACAAGGAGTGGACTGAGGCTGGAGCCACCAGGCACAGACAGGTCCAGGAAATGAGCTACAAGTGTCGCATTTCTTGTGTCAGGCCACTCCTGAACCAGAGACGACGTAAGAACCGTCTTACCTAGACCAAGGAGAAAAAGAACTGGACCATTGCTGTTTCCAGATGAAAGTACATTTTGCATTTAATTTGGAAATCAAGGAGTGAAGGAGCACAGAATCCAAGTTATATAATGTCCAGTGTGAAGTTTCCACAGTCAGTGATGATTTGGGGAGCAATGTCATCTGCTGGTGTTTGTCCATTGTGTTTTATCAAGTCCAGAGTCAATGCAGCATCTACCAGGAGATTTTAGAGCACATCATGCTTCCATCTGTTGACAAGCTTTATGGAGATTTGATTTCCTTTTCCAACAAGACTTGGCACCTGCCCACAGTGCCAAAACGACTAGTAACTGTCCACGGTGTTACTGTGCTTGATTAGCCAGCCATCTCGTCTGACCTGAACCCAGTGGAGGCTCAATGGGGTATTGTCAAGAGGAAAATGAGTGACACCAGACCAACAATACAGAGGAGCTGAAGGCCGTTATCAAAGCAACCTGAGCTTCCATAACAACTCAGCAGTGCTATGGGCTGATTGCCTCCATGACACGACGCATTGATGCAGCGATTTGTGCAAAAGGAGTCCCGACCAAGTACTGAGTCCCGACCAAGTACTGAGTGCATAAATTAACATTTAGAAAGCCAGCATTATGGTTTTGTAAATTCTTTATTCTAAAATTCTAAAATTTTAAGATATGGATTTTTGATGAGCTGTAAGCTGTAATCATCTTTAAAAAAAATCAAAACCAATCTTTAAACAACAAAAAAAAAGGCCTGAAATATTTCACTTTATGTGTAATAAATCCAGAATATATTGAAGTTTCACTTTCTGACTTTAATTACGGTAAAATTTATTTTTCTACGATATTCAAATTTCCTGAGATGCACCTGTATAGCCATACGTATAGAGCATGTGTAAGTGTTGTTTTTACCTGCCTCTGTGGATTTGAGTACAGTCCTGCTGTCCCCACCTGGCCTGACTGGAGGCCAGGGGCCCTTCAACTGCCCTGGTAGTTTCCCCTCAAGAGGATCCAGAGAGTGAGGTGGCTGGTTAACTGCTGCCCATGTATATAGCTGGTCATGCTGGGGAAACAAAACTCTTTATAAATGGTTTATTTTTAATGCCAGTTGCACTGACACTCAACTATGTAAGCAAGAAATAACTGGATAAGGGCCAGAGAAGGTGCTAATACTTTCAGAAGAATCAGAATTCATACGGACTTCCAGATGTTTCAAAATCGATGTGCATGGTTAAAAGTTTTACAGGTATGGAAACCACATTGATTTTAAAAATGTGTTGACAAATGCAAAACATAAATGAACTGAGATTTGAATGTGTACAATAAGCATCTGTACAATAAACACCCCACATCATCACAGATTGGTCACTTGGACCAAGTTGCTCACTCACAAAAAAAGTTTAAGTTAACTACAAAGTTTGGAAAAGGTGTCTGAAGTGTGACTACATACATCAAACTTGGCTGATGTTGTTGAGGTGATGTGGGCAGTGCTTCCTCCCAGCTGCTCTCTGAAGCAGTCAGTAAAAGGCAGCAGAAGACCCATGGCCAAGATCCTGGAGCAGAGCCTCTCAGCCTCCTCCGGCTCCTCCTGCTGCTGCTGCTGCAGGAACAGCTTTTCCAGAAGAGTTCGACCTGGACAGCCAGTGACCAAAACAAGGCTTATGTGATTTCTTTATCTGAGATATATATATATATATATATATATATATATGAGACATAATAAGACAAGACGATAGTCGCACAAACATTTGTATAATTTAACAACTATTTGAAAATTTCAAAACTCATGACCCATCCCTAATTTCAAGACTAGTAATGCTGTTTACGCCAAATTCTATCTACCCTGTGTAACCATCACACAATTCTTGAACAGAACAGGCAGACAATACAGGAGCAGAACAGGCAGAAGCACAATGGGAGAGATGATCAGATAATCTCTCTTCAACAGAGCCTCCACGCTAAGAGAGAGGAAACTGAAAGTATAAGAACCTCTGCTGATGAATGGAAAGGGTCCATTGCATCCAAGAGCATGAAAGAGAGTTGGCAGAAAAAAAGTCAGCAAGCTTGAAGAGCTCCTCACTCAAAAAGATAAACAGATCATGTAAATCATGTAAAAAGTTATCTCCCACTAACACTGACATGGACACCTTGGCCCAGCAGAATGACACACAGCTGAAGCAGAGCAAACTGACATGTGACGCTTTGAAGGAATTACTCAGCAGCTAAACAGCTGAGAAATCCACGTTTAATCCCTTCAGCAAGAAGTTCTCAAAGAGAGAGAGAAAAACTGCTGGCAGAAAGAGACGAGAGCTACGAAAAGGAGATCTCGGAGCAGGTGGAAAGATTCAAGGACCTCAAAGAGTTCTTACCACCACCCCTACCCCAACTCCCTCCACCCCTTCCTCCCTACAATTCCCTTTCTCTTTATGTATTTCTTCATTACTTTTTTTTATCGAGATGTGTTTACCTTCATCTGTCTTTCTGAATAAATACATAGTATGAATACAACAATGTAACTGTACTGCAGATATGACTATAGTGTTTTTCAATCTCTCATCATCAGTCATAAAACATTTTCTCTCAGAAATGGAAGTAAGTTAAATTACTTTGGTATTCAACAAAATTATTCAATGAACATATAAAGTTCAATCTTCATCCTGTAATAACTGATTTTGCAAACAGTTGCTCATTGACACATCCAGCAGTTACTGAGTAACTGTCATGGCTGGTGTGAGCGGTGAAATGGTGATGGGACCCTAATGCAAAAAATATGCAGACTGGTACAGCACAGGGATTTATTGTCAGGCAGGTGCTAGGCAGGCAGGCAGGTCCAGGTTGAGGCTTGAGTACCGGCAGCAGAGGCATAAAAGCAAAAATACAAGAAGGCAACGTTGCAACTTGGACAATCTGGCAGCGCAACAAATGATCTGTGTCGGTGTACAGGTGCTGGTTATATAATTAGAATATCATCAAAAAGTTGATTTATTTCAATAATTCCATTCAAAAAGTGAAACTTCATTCATTCCACACAGACTGATATGTCTGACTAATGAAAACCCCAAAATCAGTATCTCAGAAAATTAGAATATTGTGAAAAGGTTCAATATTGAAGACACCTGGTGCCACACTCTAATCAGCTAATTAACTGGAAACACCTGCAAAGGCCTTTAAATGGTCTCTCAGTCTAGTTCTGTAGGCTACACAATCATGGGGAAGACTGCTGACTTGACAGCTGTCCAAAAGACATTGACACCATTGACACCTTGCACAAGGAGGGCAAGACACAAAAGGTCATTGCTAAAGAGGCTGGCTGTTCACAGAGCTCTGTGTCCAAGCACATTAATAGAGAGGCGAAGGGAGGGAAAAGATGTGGTAGAAAAAAGTGTACAAGCAATAGGAATAACCGCACCCTGGAGAGGATTGTGAAACAAAACCCATTCAAAAATGTGGGGGAGATTCACAAAGAGTGGACTGCAGCTGGAGTCAGTGCTTCAAGAACCACCACGCACAGACGTATGCAAGACATGGGTTTCAGCTGTCGCATTCCTTGTGTCATGCCACTCTTGAACAAGACACAGCGTCAGAAGCGTCTCGCCTGGGCTAAAGACAAAAAGGACTGGACTGCTGCTGAGAGGTCCAAAGTTATGTTCTCTGATGAAAGTAAATTTTGCATTTCCTTTGGAAATCAAGGTCCCAGAGTCTGGAGGAAGAGAGGAGAGGCACAGAATCCACATTGCTTGAAGTCCAGTTAGAAGTTTCCACAGTCAGTGATGGTTTGGGGTGCCATGTCATCTGCTGGTGTTGGTCCACTGTGTTTTCTGAGGTCCAGGGTCAATGCAGCCGTCTACCAGGAAGTTTTAGAGCACTTCATTCTTCCTGCTGCTGACCAACTTTATGGAGATGCAGATTTCATTTTCCAACAGGACTTGGCACCTGCACACAGTGCCAAAGCTACCAGTACCTGGTTTAAGGACCATTGGTATCCCTGTTCTTAAATGGCCAGCAAACTCGCTTGACCTTAACCCTATAGAAAATCTATGGGGTATTGTGAAGAGGAAGATGCGACACGCCAGACTCTACAATGCAGAAGAGCTGAAGGCCACTATCAGAGCAACCTGGGCTCTCATAACACCTGAGCAGTGCCACAGACTGATCGACTCCATGCCACGCCGCATTGCTGCAGTAATTCAGGCAAAAGGAGCCCCAACTAAGTATTGAGTGCTGTACATGCTCATACTTTTCATGTTCATACTTTTCAGTTGGCCAACATTTCTAAAAATCCTTTTTTTGTATTGGTCTTAAGTAATATTCTAATTTTCGGAGATACTGAATTTGGGATTTTCATTAGTTGTCAGTTTTAATCATCACAATTAAATGAAATAAACATTTGAAATATATCAGTCTGTGTATAATGAATGAATATAATATCCAAGTTTCACTTTTTGAATGGAATTACTGAAACAAATCAACTTTTTGATGACTAATTATATGACCTGCATCTGTATGTAAAGAGAGACTGATGAGGAAATGAGCTGCAGGTGGGGAGATAGACGGGGAAGGTCAGGTGCGGGTTGAATGAGATGATTGCAGGGCAGATGGGAGTGGCAGGATCTGGAATGGAAGGAGAAAAGTCTGAAGGCATCTGGGCCGAGTTCAGCCCCAACAAAACGTAGCAAAACACTTATTTAAACCAGGGCCCTAATGCCTCCAGGACGCAGAGGCGAGCAGGAAAGGTTGTGGCTGACCCCCCCACCCTGAACACAAACTGTTCAAGATACTCCCCTTTGGCAAGAAGCTGCGACCAAATCCTCATGCCACAAGAACTGTATCTTCCCATCTGCTGCTGCCTCATCAACAAGGTCTGGAACCGCCACTGATACTGACTCTTACACCCCCCACAGACACCAAGCAGGACAGTAATGTTCATGTTGTGAATTTTTGCGCATTCTTTGGTCAATATTTGGTCTTTGGTCATTCTTTCTAAAAACACTCATCTGACCACTAAAATAGCTTTTACACTACATCACACAGGCCTCTACTATCAGAAACAGAAATACACATTTATAAACATTCACACACTGACGGTACAGCCATCTGGAGCAATTAGGGGTTCAGTATCTTTCCCAAGGATACTTCAAAATGCAGAGTGGGGGTAGCCAGGGATCAAACCACCAACGTTCTGAAAGGTGGACGACCGCTCTACCCCTGAGCTACAGCCGCCCATGTGGTACACATTTTTATTATTAATTTTCTGTTTTCCTTTTTATTTCCTCTCTGTATAATAAACTATGTTTATAGTTATACACCAAAACACCAAAGCCAATTCCTTGAAAGGGAGACCGCTCTGTACTCACCTGTGAAGACGTCTTGAAAGCCGCAGGTAGAGACCTGTCCACAGGACGATCTTCTGGTAGCACAGATGGGTTGGCTGCCTCCTCCTCTGTAGCCCACCAGATATTCTCCTGAATCACCAGAGCCCCCAGCATAATCCTCTCTGCTCTTCAGCCTCCTCTCAAGCTCCTCTGTCCAATCAGCAGAGCGACTCAGAGACCCAGCGAGGCTTCGAGAGCGCTTCCTACGGACTTGGTGATACTCAGCCATCGTCCTGTCAAAGTTTACATTACTAGTTAGCTTTGCATTCAGAGGAGATCACTCATAAAAATAAATAACAGAGGACACTTTAAAATGATAAAATAAAAAAGCTCTTTCTGCATTTGTAGCCTATTCAGTATGAATCTTTTACTTTTAATGCAGACTATTTTTCAAGTATTCTGTGGTGTTTCAGATTTTTGTTTTCGTACCTTTAAGGCAGCCAGTGGGTTCCATTCATTTACAAACAGTGTGTATGAAAATCAATTTTTATTTATTTTGTATTATTGCATATTAATGCAGAAAGGGGGACTGATGTTACTCTACAACGTTACCCTGACTACAACAAAAGCAGGCATCATGCTAACTGTGAAGGAATACATAGCAAAATGGTGCTTTGTTTTTGCAAGTTGACTTGGCAATTAATTGAAAAAAGGCTGTCTGGAAGTGGAAATCAGAAACACTACTGCATGCCTGCAGAGAAAAATGCCTGCAGTATAGATAAGTATTCTGTAAAGCCTTTCTCATGGAATACAGAACACTGGAGATTTCATCTATCTGTTACAGTGATGGCTTTTTGTGATGCAGAGGTGGCTTTTACGTTAACGTTCCCTATGGTTCATTGAGACATGACAGTACATTTAAGGAAAGAGCTGTGTGAATGTGTAATATATGGCACCCTTGAGAGCAAGGCCTTAGATTAGATTAGATTCAGTTTTATTGTCATTATGCAGAGTAGGGGTACAGAGCTAATGAAATGCAGTAAGCATTTAACCAGAAGTGCAGCAATATATAGTGTTTATACAGATAGGTACAGTTATGCTACTGTATATGTTACAATATGTAGAGTGGAGTTACAGTTTAATGAGATTAAAAAGTATATGTGAATATATTATGTGTAAAATGTATAGAGGAGAAATGGACAGAGTTAGAGAATGGAGAATGCAAATGTAAGGATGTATAGAACAAACAGCAATCTATGCATATGGTAAGTATGGCAACATATACACATTAGGTAGAATCCAAAAGGCAGAATTGTATTAGGGCCACTGTCTAAATAATAGTAATCTGACATTTGGAGAATTAAGTCAAATATTATGGGAAGAAAAGTTGTAATATTTGGAGAATAAAGTCATACTAGCATAGGTTGCTTGAAGTCATATGTGCATGTGTTAGTATTTCCTGCAGTCCCAATTTATTTAGACTTGTAAAAAGTCTGGACTGCAGTGTGGTGTTTTTGCTCTGACTGGTGGCTCTGTGTCGCTGCTGTCTGTGTTTCCACCTACTTAGAGACACCTTTGCTCTGTTTGGGACCGTCTCTCTGCTCCAGGATGTATCCCACTGAAGCAGCCGTGCACAACTTTATTCTCAAAATATTAGAGAACACAGATATGTGGGATAGATTCTGAATGTGCAGAAAGGCTTGAACATGAGCAGAAAACAAAGGAGCTTTGTAAAAAATGTTTAAGCCTCTATCTCTACCTTTGTCTCCTCACGATAGATAGATAGATAGATAGATAGATAGATAGATAGATAGATAGATAGATAGATAGATAGATAGATAGATAGATAGATAGTAGGGATAACTAGCTCTACCGGCAAAGGATCATCAACTGGTAAGGATAATGATTTTTTACCTGGGTCTTTTACTGTAGCTAGTTTAGTTTAATTGAGTCATCAAACACATATTTAATACCCCTTGTCAGGTTTCTGATTCCGATACAAGTCAGGCAGAGATAGTGTCAGCCAACTCGTGGAAAGTTTTTGTCTATGTTGATGGTAAATGTGTTAAATGCTTGACAGGCCTAGCAACAGTAACTGGATGGGGGCAGGACTTAGTGAAGGAATAATTCCAACTTATTATACTCTCTAAGATAATAGTTGAGATCTGGGAACACAGATATTGCAATATTGCTACACAGCAAGACACAGTCAGACAAACTGGTTGTTAACAAGCCATTTAGCCAGCAGTTCAGCAAGATTATCTAAACCATTTTATTTGGAGGTAAAACCAAGCCATGCCTGAAATGTTGCTAATAATTCCTCACTGCACAGGAACACCTTGTGTGCATACAACTACAGTAAGTAGAGTAAGTCAGAGTTTAACCAGGAAGTTGGTGTTTGAACTGTGCTGGTTGGGTTATAATCATATTGCCATTCTGCCTCCCAGGTTTGACTCACCTGGGGGTTTGTTTACAACCTGCCTGATCAGACTCCTCAAGTTTCTTGCCCTGTCTGACAACTTTTTAGTAACACCACACTCCCAGACCTCAGCAAATTAACTTGGTGAGTATTTACCAATAGGAATGATTCCCAAAACAATCCAACAATCATCACCTGATGATAGTTTAAAACCAAGCCAAATGTTAAAAAGCACACTGGATCATATGTGCTGTTATTCCATCATGCCAAAGGTAATTATCACAATCATTAACATGCTGCAACACCACAGGTACCTGTGGAGGTGATGGTGGGCTCTGCGCGGGGACAGGGGGCTGTGGGAGGGCGACAGGGCTGGGGAGTGCCCTGGGGAGCTGAGCTGTCTAGTGGTGGTCTTGATGTAGGAGGGGAAAATGGGAGGGTAGGGTTTCACCACAGGGCAAGAGGATGTGGAGGAGTGGTTAGAACGGAGGAGTCGTTTGGCCAGTGTGGGGCTCTCCTGGTCAGGCAGCGGACTGAAGCAGACGCTGCTCCTTCTGCAAGGCTGGTTGGAGGGGGAGGCACTGGTGCTGGCGGCAGCAGAATGGATGGATTCGGATCCAGCGCTCAGGCAGTCCTCAAGGGACTCGGCACTGGTACCTGAGCCCAACTGACCCTCACCTTCTTCAAATACGGGCCCTGAGCTGAGCCCTTCAGTGGGTTCAGGACTTTTGCTGCGGCAGTCAGCAGGTGGAGGACTGACATCTACATCCACCACGGGCTCGGTCTCCTCCTCCCGCCGGGTTTCACCTCCTGCTTCCTCCTCCCTTGGGGTTTTCCAAACTCTGTCACATGTGAGATCAGGGAAGCTGTTACCACTGGTTGTCATGGCGATCGGGCTGACTGCTGCCCCCCCGGCAGTAGCTATGGTGATGGCTGAGAGAGGGGGCTGCTGCACCCAAGCATGCTGGTCTTTTGTGCCTGTGGCAGCACAAAGAGAGGCTTCTCTCCCGCTCTCCTTTTGCCCCTTCCGATTTCGCTCCGGATGCTCTTCCTCTTCCTCCTCCTCCTCCTCCTCCTCCTTCTCCGCCCTCCTCTCATGCACCTCTGTTTGAAAGGGGAGGTGCAGTGTTGGCAGCTGGTCTGTGTGCTTGTCAGAGTCAGACAGAGTTCCCGTTTCTAGGAACGACAGAGCATCAGACCCCAATTCTAATTCTGGGGTCAGGTCAAGCACCTCAGGAGTTAATTTAACTACCCCATTACTCTGATTCCTCCTCCCCTCTCCTCCTCCCCAGCTCAGATCCCTCTCTCCCCCTCCATGTGCTACGACAGCTGAGTTAGCCCCCCCATGCTGCTGTTGGTGCTGGAGCCTAATAGCGAGCTGGATGTCTGCTAGCAAATCCTCATGGTCAGCTGCGGAGTGGAAGCTGTAGATATCTGTGTCCGACCCTGAGCTCCCCCCCTTCGGCCCTCCATCCTCTGCGGGAGACGTTGCTGCTGTAGAGGCTTTCCGCTGCATCTCCTGCTTCTGCTCTCCTCCACCCTTCTCCCCGTGCTCTGGTTTCTTTTTCTTTTCCGGGAAAGCAGTCTCAGTATCCGACTGTCCGAGCTCATCTGCAGACATTTCGGGTGTTTTTGTGTTGTCCAGTTCGTCATGTTGAGATGCTAACACGTCCTCCTTTGAGCCTGTTACTGATGAAGACGCATCTCCTTTCCCTTTCAGGTTGCCCTTTCTCTTCCGAATGGAGAAAACAGAGGACTTGGACTCAGATTTGTTTTTCTTCTTTCCTGGTCCTGTGCCATGAACCCCCCCCCCTCCTCCTCCACCACTGGCTGCTCCTTTCCCTCCATGCTTACCATGGAGTTTCTTTCCTCCCTTTTTTGTTGTGTCCCCACCTCCCTCTCTCCATCCTTCATCAAGTGAAGGGTAGCTTCCATTACCCGATGCTGCTGTAGCTTTCTTTTGCTTAGCCTCCTGGTTGCCCATTTTGATGGAGAGCGTCCGATGGATTTCTGCCTTTCCTCTCAGGTCATGCTTGGGAGAGCTCCGCCTGCCTGGGGGAGCTTGCCTGTGCCCGTAGAAAGTAGAACCGTCTTGGCCTAATCTGTGGATACTCGTCTGATGGAGGAGGAGGAGCTGCTGCTGCTGCTGCTGCTAATGGTGTTTTTTTTTTAGCTCCGTTGTGCGACGATCTTCCTTGTTGTTTTCCGGTGACGAAGGCTGGCGTGCCTGATGCAAGGGATACAGCTCCCTCCTCCTCCTCCCCTTTCTCTCTCTGTCTTACCCTCCCCCTCGTCCTCCTCTCCATCTGCTGAAAGGAGTGACGCAAGCACTGCATGATCAGTGGAGCTGTGATATGGATGCAGACTGGGAGAGATGGAATGCAACTGGGATGGGGACACAAAGCCAGGTCTGCTGTAAAATAAAAAGGTAAAAAGACCTGAGAGAAATAAAGATGCTGGAACTGGAGGTGGGGATGGTAACTGTACAGACTCCTGCCTACATTACCCATAATACAAAGTGTGGGCTTGCCTTCATTTTAACAGTTAACACACAGAAATATGTGTGAATAAATATTTATTTGTATTTTTAAGAATATAAAAATAAATGTTGATTAAAATAAAGGTCAAAATAAAGGAACATTTGTTAAATTACAAAAATAGTCATTCAACAAGAGTTTCTTTTATATAATGCTTATTGTTCATATATTTTTAATTTTAATAATAAAATCTGAATTTACTTCAGTTTAGCAGGAAAAATAAATCTCCGCTGTTCTGGAGCTTTCCATCACATCACCTGATCTTCCTCAGCAGAGGGAGTTTGCCGACAGGTCAGGAAAATGTAGAAGTTTTTTCTTAGCACTTTATGGATTTCTTATCCATGTTGTCTCTGTTTAATGTTATGGTAGATCAGAGTTAACAGATTTTCAGCTTAATGTTATGCTCCCCCATATCAGAAATGTATTATATTGCAAGGTTCCTTCACATCATGGGGTGCAGTCCATATTTATGTTGTGTGACCAACACAAAATCACTATCCAGGTCACAAAGAAAAAAAACAAACAAAAAAAAGACTATTTCTCAGATGGTTTTGTTGTTATTTGATCAGTTATTTATCTGTTATTTACTCTATTGTCTTGTGTTCAGTCTGCCCGGTGTTAGTTTATTTACTGTTGCCTGCCTTTGTTCTTGTCTTATTCTGTTGTCTGGTGTTGGGTTCATGCTTGGTTTCTGTCGCCTGTCTGTTAAGGTTTAGTTGTGTTCTCTGCCTGTTTGTTTTATTTGACAGTGTTCAGTCTGCTTGCTTCCTGTTGATGTTCAATGTGTGTTTTTGTATTTTTTGGTTTGGTTTTGTCTGTTTGTGTCTTGTGGAGTTGCTGGTGTTTCTTAGTTATTTAGTCTGCTTGGTTTGTTTCCCCCGATGATTACTCTATCTGCCTGTTTGCTTTGGTTTGATTAGTCTGAACCCTCTCTTCTGTGTTACACCCGCCCTGCTGATTAGTCCCTGTATAAATGTTTGCTTGTTTCTTTAGTCTGTGTCTGGTCATTGTTGTGTGATGCGTGTTCTTCAAGCTGCTGAGTTACCCTTTCTGTCATTTGGGTTTTGTCTGTCTCCACTAACCTGTAAGCCTTGTTTGCCTTTTTGATGGATTAAAATCCCTTGAACTGTACGTCAGCTCTCCAGTGTCTTGCGTTTGGGCTCAATCCTGCTTTGCACTCATCGGGCCGTGACAGTATTGTTTTGTCTATGAAGATTCTCAGTCATCCGGGTCATTGTTATAGTGATTGTGTTGTCTGCTAACTGAATGTAATGCAGTGTGAGAAAAGGAAGAGGGAAAGTGAAACTTAATGCCCCTGTTTTGTTTTCAGAACAAATCAATCAACATCACACTAACTGCCTGGTAGAAACTAATCACAACTTCTCACTCTCTCTTATCTTAGTTATTGGTGACATTCATATTCACTTAAATAAGGCCTCTGATCCTCTAAGTAAAGCCTTTCTGGCACTTATTGAAGATGAAACACATGCTTTTAAGAAGGCTTGCAGGAGATTTGAGCACAGATGGGGGAAAAGTTTCTTTTTCTGTTTCCATCTGTTTACTGATTCTAAACAGTGGTATAGAAAGACAGCACAATAAACACAACAATGTGTGCAAAACAACATATGCACAGGAAAAAAAGTATAGCAGTATAGTATAATAATTTACCACATAGGAAATTTAATTGGATTCAATTCAATTTTATTTATAAAAATGTCAATTCAGAAGACAAATCTTACTACACCTTTTCATATAGAGCAGGTCTAGACCGGACTCTTTGTAAGAGGAAAGTCTTAAGCCTAGCAAAAAAAATTATATTAGCTTCTTTGAAATGGCTTAATTTTAAATCCTTCTGCTCACCTACAAAGCCCTTAATGGTCAGGCATCTTATCTTGAAGAGCTCACAGTACACTATTACGCCCTTAGAGCACTGCACTGCCAGAATGCAGGGTGACCTGTGGTTTTCTAGAGTTTACAAAAGTAGAATGGGAGCCAGAGCCTTCACTTCAATTCAAATCAGCTTAATTGGCATGAATGTAAAACAATATTGCCAAAGCTATAAATAAATACTACAGCCTTCAGCTATCAAGCTCCTCTCCTGTGGAACAAGATTCCATTTTTGGTTCAGGAGGCAGACACCATCTCCACATTTAAGATTAGGCTTAAGACTTCCCTCTTTGATAAAGCTTATAGTTATAGGTGAGCCCTGAACCATCCCTTAGTTATGGTGCTATAAGCCTAGAGTGTTTTCTGTTTAGCAGTGTGGTTGAAGAGATGGCCTGAGCTTCACACCTATCCTTCACTCTCCCTGGCTCAACCACCCCAAATAGCGCAGTTTATGGGGCAGGGGGAAACTCCATATTAAAAATAAATCTAATAAATGAGCCCGAAATGTTTGCAACCTGCTTTCCATGAGATTTTAAAGATTACACACAGAGGGCAGAATGATTGAATATTATTTGTTATAAAGTGGGAATAAAGATCTTTAAATTGAACATTAACAAAACATTAATTGAATTACTGTGAATATTTTCAAATAGGAAGTTTTCTACCGTGGCATGAGAGTGTAATGAACTACAAGCATAAGCTTACTGCTGAAAAAAAGCCTACTTCTCTTGTTTAGTAACAAAAAGCACAATCCCAGATTTCTTGACACTTTAGGCCCACAGCCGTCTGTCAGCTGCTCATCCTTTATGGCACATGGCTTCATGGATTCTTCTCTGTTGTAAAATAGATGACATATGACAAAAATGACTTTATCTCCAGCTATCTTTGCACACAATACGCACATGCTGAATCCCAGCTAGTCTTAGTTCTTATACATTTTTGAAACTATCTCTCTTGAGACATTGCCTGAACTGGTTTTAGCTTTAAAACTAACTACCTGTCTCTTGCAGCTAAACTTTTTCAAACTTTTTGACCATCTCTGGGACCTACAATGTTGAATATTGTTAATTTATCACTTACAACTGGCACTGTCCCAACTAGCTAGGAACCTGGGTCCTGTTTTCACTTTCATTTTGGTGTCAAAATGACTGGTAGGTACAAAAAGTGCTTCTTTTGCCACTGACACTAACACCTCATCAACAAAACTCGCAGCACAACTTCTCCTCACTCTCTTTTCTCTTCACTTTTTCTTCTGGACGTTGAGCCTGAAGCCGCCGACCCAACTGCGCAGCGGCCTCCCGGCATGGCACGCACAGAAGTCTCTTATCTTACAGCAGCAACAAAAGTGACTGTTTAAGATCCCTGCAACCAGCTCAGTTAGCCAGCGGGTAACTCTGAAGAGAACAATTGGAGGAGCTGGATCCTCATCTGTACGATCGGAACACTACACAGCAAAAGACTGAAACTGAACCACAATTCTTCCCCACCAGGCTGAATCCACAAAAGATTTGTCAGCCAACATCTGGCATGTCAAGCAACTTTCTTCCTTACGGACTGGTAAGTTACACAGCTTCACATAGCTCAGCTGTAATGTTACTTGGATAAGCACAGGACTGTTAGCTTTTGTAAATATATGTTTACGTTGATGTGTATTTCACAAGTTTATTGTTGTGATCTTTTAACATGAGGTTATTGTGTAACTGTATTTCTCAGCCAATGCTACAATGTTAGTAATGTGATGCTTCAGAGAGACAGTCTTTGCAAATCACATGAAGATAAACCTTTGATTCAGCCTAAACATGAACATACAACAGCAGAGAGAAACCCCGCTTCACTCTGCCTCCTTTGTCCTGCAACACATGGAAATGCTCATCCACACGAGACATACTGGCTGCGGAACAAAAAACAGGTAGTGTTGAAGTTTATAGCTGCAGCGTAATTTGGGTCAGGAGAAATGTACAGTTGCTTGTCATCAGCGTAAATTTGGAGTCATTATGCTCTCTAATGACATCACGCAAGGAACCGCTCTAAGCTGGTTTAAGTCTTATTTATCAGAACCAGGTGAACCCTGAACCCAAACTGGAACCAGGTTCCAGGCAGTAGGCTTAAGACTTTCCTCTTTGATAAAGCTTATAGTTAGGGCTGGCTCAGGTGACTCCTGAACCACCCCTTAGTTATGCTGCTATAGGCCTAGACTGATGATGCACTGAGCTCCTCTCTCCTCTTCTTTCTCTCCCTCTGTATGCAACCTCATCCCATTATTGCATGTTACTAACTCTTCTCCCCTTTCCCGTAGTCTTGTGCTTTCTCGTCCCTCTCCTCTCTCCTCCTTTCACTTCCTGCAGGTGTTTCTAGCTCTGGAGCTGTGGAGTCTGGATCTGTGGTTGCGAGTCACCTGCTGCCCCCGTGTTCCTGCTCGACACCCTCTGCTACAATTATTGTTACTAGTCCTATTGTTATTATTGTAATTATAATCATTAACATTACGATTATTATTTAAGATTATTATCATTAACACTACTGTAAATATCTGTGCCATTTTTCATTGAGTCTATAGCACCATTACCTTTACTGTCTGTACCTCTGTGTGTATATTGTGTGGGGTGCCTCCCTCCCTCTCTCTCTCTCTCTCACCCCCAACCGGTTGAGGCAGATGGCCGCCCACCCTGAGCCATGGTTCTGCTTGAAATTTCTGCCTCTTAAAAGGAAGTTTTTCCTTGCCTCTGTCGCCTAGTGCTTGCTCTTGGTGGGAATTGTTGGGTTACTGTAAATATCATCACAGAGTATGGTCTAGACCTGCTCTTTTATGAAAAGCGCTCAGAGATAACTGTTGTTGTGATTTGGCGCTATATAAATAAAATTGAATTGAATTGAATTGAACCCAGGATATAGTGAGAATATAATGGACCAAGGCAGCTCCTTGTTAACCCAAAAAAAGATGTCATGATCTTCAAGACTTAGCCTACTTCTAGGTTGGCTTTCTTTAGAAAGGGTTCTACAGCAGCTGTTTTAAAAGCATCTGGGAAGATGCCTGTTTGAAGAGATGTATTTATAATCTCCAGGACACAACCTGAAACACCTTGGAACACCCACTTAAAAAATGCTGTAGGTACAAGATCAATACATGAGGTAGAGGAGTTATACTCAGCAACAGTCTTGCAAAGCTAAGGTAATGTATTAATACTGGCTCTAACTAAAGTTATTTTGTCGTTGAAGAACAATGCAAGTTCTTCAGAGAAGACAGGTGGAGGCAGTGTGGAGCAGCTGGTCAATAGCTAGAAATAGAATAGTGATCCTTTCCCGCCGACGTGTTGCTTTGTTACAGGCATTCATGGCTTCTGTGTATTACAGTGAACTGTGAGTTTATCTTCTTCCATTCATTAACACTGTTCTTGTTTAACATCGGGGTAGTCCTCTCAGTCAACCTCTTCTTAAACTTCAGTGGAGCAGCAGTATTGAAAGCAGGTGACGAGGTATTGTTGACATTTCCAAACACAACACTTAAAGAGCTGTTTGACTCAAATGATCTCATAATATTAGAGAACCCTGCTTCAGCCTCGACATCTAGGAATCTCTTTTGAACCAGAAATCCCAGGTGAGGGGAAACGGATACAGGCTGTCTGTATGTGTGTGCTGTCCCAAGAGCAGGGCGTTGGTTGGCACAGAGTAGTCTGCAACCAGTGGTGCTTGAATGAATCCCATCAGGTTTAAAGCAGTCTTTACAGTTCCAAAAGATATTGAAATTGTCAACAAACAATTCGGCTGTTTAATCTTGAATCTTTTTGGTTTTCTATTGCATTGCTATTTAATTGGTTTGCTCTTCAACTCACATATATATGTAGATACACATACACACACGCACATATATATACGGTATATATATATACAAAATAAAACAATTTGCAAACATTTGCACTGTAAATAATTAATTTAGTATTTTAAATTTTGTATTTCAACCAGTTCAAAATAACATAAGGTTTCCAAAGCTTTGAAATATTAATAAAAACAGTGAATATTTATCAATATTCCTGTGACCAAAAGCACTCCCATGCTTTCCCACAGGGATGGGGGGGCATCAATCGATCCGGCTTGAGCAGACCTTTCATTTGGATGTCCGTGTAGCTCCTATGAGTTGACTACCAAACCGCAAAAAAGACTGAGTATTTCAAAGTGGCACTACTTCCCTTTGCAGAAAAGGCGAGAGAAGGCACGCACACAGCACCCAGGTATTGCGCGTATTGCGTATTGAAAACGGCGAAAACTGAAAAAGTAAGTCTCCGGTTGTGATTGTATCCTGGCTCATTTTTTGTTACATGTATCCAGCTAATTAGTCTGTAATTTTGGTGATTTGAGTGATGTGAGCTGATTTCATGGGGAGATTAGCTTTGGTTTGAGAGGTTGGACATGAAGATACGTTGTGATTAGAGATAACCAGAAGCTTATAACTCCAGCCATGTACAGTGATTACAGAGCGATTTATGTTGTGATATAAGCTTTTTTAGATGCTTGGTATTTGATGGGTATTTGTTGTTCAGATATGAATTTTCCATTTGCATTTTGCCCAAAAAATCGCATGCTGCCCCTGGTACCGGGGGTGTTGGTGTTCAACAGTTGTTTTATCATCTGAGCAGGAAACCTCAACAGAGCAACACAGCTTAAGGATTTTATTTGTGGTTTCTAATGCAAAAGATTTTCTCTCACTCTGATTCAAAACTGTGGATGTAAATATAAAAACTTCTACTAACTACTGTAAAACACCAAGAGTGCCTGGAATCTATCAATCATTTAACCACTTAACAGTCATTGTTGGATACACAGAGGGAGAGCACAGTTTGTTCTTATTTAGTCTAACCACTCACCCTGGACATAACTTTCCCATGTTTATGCTATGTTAATTTTTAGTCACAGTCTATTCGTAGTAAACCATCATGATGTGCACTATACAATACCGTATCCCTTTTTTAACTTTGAAGGTCTAGTATGCAGTACATTCATATAGAAGATAACAAAATGTAGCCAGAAAAGGTCATCGTGCATACTTCATCACAGCATTTCTGAATGTCTTGTTTAGGGACAACCCAACACAGACAGAACTAATAAGAACTAATAATTTTTAAATTGGCAAGTCCGCACACATTTATACAAGTACATTAATACTTGTATTTTAACAAATAGAACAGGGCACTGTCAACTTTAGCTGTGCCCATGTAAGCCCCCTACAGTGTAGTATACTATAAGTTGAGGTGATATGTCAAAAATGTGCCTTCCATTGGCAAATCACAATGTGGTTTGGCGTGTATTGTCCATAGTCCAAAGCACTGCTGAATATAGAACGGCCCACCCAATATGCATTGCATCAATATGTTCACTGATCATGTATTTTGACATTATTAAACTATTCTATAGTATTTCCACAGATGTACAGACAAAGAAGTAGTATAAGAGTCAGTGTCACACAGTGTTATATTTTACAGTTGACAATATTGCTGTTAGCAGCTTCATACAAACATTACAATACTGAAAGACAATCATTCAGTACTGATTGCCTGACTCAACCAAATTTATCAACAGTAATCTTTCCTCATGGTGGTTTCTAAATTGAAAAGCACCTCTCTATTCTATTACTGATTTTGTTTATTTTATTTTAGTAAGTGTCCCAACCACAGCCCCTGAACAGAATATTAACCACACAGGAGAGTCACAACAGGGGACTGCAAGACAGATTTTGAAATCTCTAAACTATGGTGGAGATATTGAATAAGAGTGTATTTAGAGTATTTTTGTTGACAATTAGTTGCAAGTTTATTAGGTTGAGAGAGCTAAAACTAATGCCCATTGGGAAAATATTAGGAACACAGATCAAATCGAATATAGAATAACGCAATACAATTCAACAGATTCATAAACTACAGCCTCCAAAATGACCATAAACATGAATGGACACCTCTCTAAAACGAACACATTAGCTAGGTATACCAAATAAACTGGCAACTGAGTGTATGTCATAACTGACCTCCAGGTTATTGTTTATAGCAAAGCAATATATAAAGACAGTAAACTGGCGATCAAACCTTTAATAAGCATTTGTGTATTACTGGGAACTCTTTGAGGTGTGTATGCTGCATTCAAATTCTGAATATATATCAGGAAATGTACCTTTAAACACAGATCCATCCAATAATTTGCCACCAAAATTTAGATTGGGTCTTTTTTCTTGAAAGCCACAGCCTTCCTCTGATGAAAATGAGGCTGGTTCTTCCTCTGATTCCACTGGCACATCAAAATATCCCTGAAAGTTGTCCGGAAGGTCTTGTTACACAGGGCATAGCACATGGGGTTGACTGTGCTGTTTACGTAACACAGCCAGTAGCCCAGTGCCCAAAGAGTTTCTGGAATACAGTCCTGACAGAAAGTGTTGACCAATACCATGATGTTGTATGGTAACCATGTTGTAATGAAGGCAAACAGGATGGCGCTGAGTGTCCGCGCTGCTTTCTTCTCATTTGCCTTTTTTTCATTCTTGCGCTTGTTGATCTCTGTCTTGGCCTTAGAGGCGAAGCGTTTGGCCATCGCGGCATCTTTCATGTTGATGGCTGCAGGTGATTGGTCAGTGGGTGACGAGGTAACAGGGTTTGATTGTGACCCTTTTTGAATTCTGTTGGATGATGATAGTTGCTTATCCTTGTTTTTCTTTACCTTTGAAGATTTCTTACCATCTAGATAGATAGATAGATAGATAGATAGATAGATAAGACATCATGTATATTTGAATAATTTTTATACAGTATCATGCAAACAACCACAGGGTTATGTCCAACCTGTTGGAGGCCTTGAAGGGTCCACATCATCAGCTTCCTCCTCTGATCCTGACTGGTCCCCAGATGCACCACCTTCATTGTTGTTAAAGCTGTCAATGCTGCTCTGCTCAGTCTCACCAACCGTTGTCGTTGTGGTGTTGACGGATCTCTTTGATTCATGGCGACCTCGCAGCAGTGATGAAAACTGGAAGCACAACGCGCCACACCTCCATCTTCTTCCCATTCCTACTGGTATGCTGGCATTGTCCTCATTGTTCTTCTCTGAAGCCAGCTGATTTAGTTCATAGCTGCTGCAGCTTTGAGAGCTAATTTGACGCAGCATGGTTGACGAATCCTGGCTGTTAGTCGCACCTTTTCCAACAGCTCCTCCTCCACCACCCCCATGGTTTTGAGCCTTGCTTGGGCTGTTGCCTGACCCAGATCCCTTGAGACCTTGTATATCTTTAGCACGCTTCTCTGTCTCTTGATAGATCTTCCAAAATAGGAATGCCATAATAGTTACTGGCAAGTAAAACGCAGCAATAGCAGTGCAGAATGTAATGATGGGCTCGGACAGGAACTGGATGTAGCACTCAGTAGGTTGGACTGTCCGCTCACCCACAATGTACTGCCAGAACAGGATAGCTGGGGCCCAGAGAATGAAAGAGATGGACCAGGCTAATCCAATCATTGTCATGGCCCGCTTAGTTGTACGCTTGGCCCGGTAAGTCAAAGGTCTGGTCACAGAGAAATACCTAAGAACATAATATAGGTTGTTCATGAGGGTATACCAACAATATATGTTAGTGGCTGACAGCTTCATTGTAGTTAAAAAATATAATAAATCAAGTTCTCCTACCTGTCAAAGCTGATGACAAGCAGGTTCATGACAGAGGCATTACTGGCCACATAGTCTATTGCAAGCCACAAGTCACAGACCACAGGTCCCAGAGCCCACTGGTCCATGATGATGTACGTAGTATACAGATTCATTGACAGTGTGCCAATGGTCAGGTCAGCAAATGCTAGGCTAAGCAGGTAGTAGTTGTTCACTGTCTTCAGTGCCTTATTGATCTTGAATGACACCAACACTAGGATGTTGCCAACAACAGTGACAAGAGAAAGTGTTCCAGTGAGGAAGACAATTATGATGACCTGAAAATGAAGAGGTAAGAAGACAAGGACCCAAAGAGGGTGGTTAAACAGAGTGGACAGACTTAACTTTCAAAAAATCAACACTGAGCTGAGGAACATTTGGAAGCTAGAAGGCTGTGAATTATCCTTAAAGGTGTGTTCACACTGAAAGCAAATCCAGCGTTTTGGGCGGCTTGATTACATATGAAGTCAATGCAAAGAAGCGAATTCCGGGAAAATTCAAAGAGGCGTTTGTCGCGACATTCACTGGTTCGAGCGAGTTCAAATCTTTCAAATGGGGCAAGAAATTCGCTTGTCGCAATATTGTAAAATCCTATCAGCGGTGAGATTGTCCAAACGTCACAGGCTGCTTCGGAGCTCTGTTTGGAGAGGACCTCTTGAGTGGTGTAATGACGATCCGCTGGCCGACAGAGAGCTACTAAAGAACAGGGAAGTGTATGGCGAACAGCGCTGCAGCTTTTGGACACATAAATACCCGTAGTCAGTCTAGATTCTGCTTTGACAACTACGCCGTTTACCGGCGGGAGGAGCTCAGAGTTAACTGCTTATACTTCGTTTTGTATAAAAACTAGACAAAACTGGATATTGCTTGGAGAAAATAAAGTGTAGAAGTTGAACTACCTGGTGAATTCAGAAAAGATGTGTCTGTAAATTTATTCCAGCTATCATTGTGCTTTACTGTGAACAGGTTAGCATAGCCCAGCTCAATCCGAACTCCATTCAGAAAACAAAGCATGAATTCATACGTCTAACAAATCGACATCATGTTGTAGTTATTTCGGCATCAGTTTGATCCCTTTATTGAAATTAAATCACAGCAAAAGGTTTACTTTGGGTTCATGTAGATGTAGTTTTTGCGGGTTGTGTTCATTCGCTTAAAGCGTTGTGTGTGAACACTCAAAATGTCCAGCTGTCAAACTCGCGCAAGTGGAGCGAAGCGAATATTAACTTTGTTTTCAATGTGAACACACCTTAACAGGACCATGCTTCTTGAAACTAAAAACACTATTGAGCAGCAAATGCCACTGAACTGGGATACTATCTCAGAACCTTAGTGCGGGTTCACACCTAATGGTCCTGTTCCTGAATTAAACCATGGCGATGATGACCAGTCCGGTTTGTGTTTACAAAGGCAAAAACTCAAATGGTCCAGAAATTGTAAAGAACAGCCTTGTGGTAGAAATGGTGTTGGATTATTGCTAATGGGTGGTGATGGTGCAATGGATAAGATGCCTGCCTTTGGTGTGAGAGACCTGGGTTCAATCCCCTCGTTGCTCCAGAGGTGTGCGACCTCTGACATATAGCAATTGTAAGTTGCTTTGGATAGAAGTGTCAGATAAATGTAAAAAAACAAGCTCCAAATACTTAAATTATTTAAAGAGCACAGCAGAAAGTTTGTCTGATGGTTAGAATTCCTTGTTACTGAAGCCATGGAACTACCCTGCCTGCTCTGTTCTGGAGTACTTTCAAGCTGCAGTGGACACGTCTCATGTCTGCACATTTAGGTGGTAAAGCTGTAGTAGTTAGCCATATAAGGTATGAATTAAAGAGGTCATATTATGCTCAGTTTCAGGTTCAAAAACTTATTTAGGGGTTGTACCAGAACAGGTTTACATTTTCAAAAAACATATAACATATTTTTTGTCATACTGCACCTTGCTGCAGCTCCTCTTTTCACCCTGTGTTAGCTATGGAGTGATACATCTTACCTCTACTAGATCTTTGTTGGGAGTTGCACATGCGCAGTTCCTAGTTAAGGACTACCAGCCAATCAGATGCAGAGTTGGGCGGGTCGTGAAAAGCCGGTAACACGTAAACACGACTTCAGTTCAACTGTATATGTTCCCCTTACCAGCTTATCAACATGGACTGGAGCAAGAGTTTCAGAGTGGTGAGTTATTAATCTGTAACACATTTAACTTTCATCCATAAAGTTTTAACTAAGGCTGGACTACAAACGAGCCGTTTTCAGGCAGTACAGAGCAGAGTTTTCTGTGGGAGATGGGAACTCCCTTTGGGCTGGACTTTGGGCTTTTTCACTTTGCAAACCTATTACATGCACAAAAAAGATATATAACTCAATAAAGGAGAGGGAAAAAGACAAAAAGCCTAATATGACCTCTTTAACTAACATTTATACATTTCTGAAACAACACTTATTCAGTATTACAGTGTCACTAAATCAGCACTATAACTGATGCTAACGAAAAACGAACGAAAAAAAGTAGATCTGTTTTGGTAAAAACAGCTGATTGTTACCTGCCAGATAGTATGTCCTCCTAATGGGTCAAAGTCCTCTGCCTCTGGCGGCATTAATGTCCTGTTAACTGGTGAATCAGTGAAGTTTCCTCCTTGACTGACATTATGCTGCTTCCAACCACCAACACTATCAGATAATATAGCCAACCCCTGGTAAGAGCCCCCTGAAGATGTGGAGAAACAAGTCATGTAAAACAAAATTATGTCTCACATACTTTGTAGAAGCCTACATGAAAATGAATCAGATATTTGGAGAGTCAACAATAACTGTATAAAAGTCTACAAACACTTTATTAGTGTATTATCCCAGAAACCTTTGGCTTAAATTATTATTATTTACCTCTTGTATGTCATGTTTTCCTTTCGATTTATCTATTCTTACTACAACTGTTTTTCTTGTCATCCTGTGTTCCTGGCTGTTTTAATATACTTGTATTTAACATTTTTCTGATATTGAGGAGCTTGTGTAAGCTTATTTGGCTCCATTGCTCAAGACAATTTAAATTGTGCACTTTACAATATCAGCATTGCTTAGTTAATTAGTTCATTGTTAGATACGAAGTGCAGTAGACAGTACCTAATATGGCAGGCTCAACTATGACGGTTGTATCATGCTGGTCTCTCATGCCAGGAGAACTGTTGCTAAGGAAGTTGATAGAATCAGAGCTGGAGTTCAAGTTCATGATGACTAATGGACATCTATAAGAAAAAAGGAGAAAATAGATGAAGGATTAAGGTGTAACAGTTCAACTGAATTCTTTAACACTTCGTCACAAGCTTGAATGGTAAAAGACAGCAGAAACAAGCATGTTGAACAGTGCAAAAGAAAAGAGTACTTGAAAAGAGCAAAATGCATCAAGTCCAAATCCCTGATTCCATGACACTTTCAAACATTAACTTGACAAACCCTTAGGTAAGGAAAAAAGAGTGCTAATTTAAAAAAAAAAGATAAACCAAAAAAAACGTAGTCCACTGACAGTGACAGATTGAGGTCATGGGCCCCTAGACTACACTTTCTGTGAGGGGCCCCTACTTTATTACTAAAGCTACGTTCACACTGCAGGCCTTAATGCTCAATTCCGTACATTAATGTTTAAATGTAGGCCACATCAGACTCCCAGTTTGAATTGTCCACGGCCTAAAAGTGAAGAATAACACAATGTCACACGCATCAACTGTGGTACAGAAGTAAAGAAGGAGCCACTGATGTTAGCCCCAGTTAGATTTTCACGGGAGACATTTTTCATTGTCCTCTCACAAGTCACATTTCACCCGGATTATGACAAGTGTTCACAACTTTCTGTTCTTTTCATTACGGTTACTGGTGCTGAACAGCGCAACTGCCCCACAACACTCTCTCTCTCTCTCCACTGTGTCCGCACAGACAAGTAGCATGCACGTAATTTAGAAGAGAAACCGCGATCCAGTGGATTTCAGGTGGAAGAAAGGGAATTTGTGAGCAGATGATAGCGAGGTACAGAAGAAGGACAGCCACATGTTTAATAATGGCATTTGTTGAGCTTTTTCGTTCACCACGGCTCCGTCTACAGCAGAACTGTGTGGTTGAGGTTGGCATTTTTGTTTTTCATTGGGTACTTTTACTACATTTTCCAGATTATACTTAGAGAGGTTTACTTAAGTAACAGTTCCAATGCAGAACAGACTGAAACAAATAATCTTAGTGCTTTATCCAAGACTGCCCGTCTGTCTATCAAGATAAACAAACACTTAATTATATTATATAGTTGCTATGTTAGGTTAGGTTACTACACCAACTGCCTTACTCTGCTGTGTTATCGGTTAAGCCTCCCCATTAAGGAAGATGGCCTTGTGTGGATAACCTGTGTGTGTGGTGTAGACTTGTAGGTTTGTTGTGGGAAGCAAGTCTCTCCCGGAGTGTGAGAGAACAACCAGCACGCTGCCGCAGTCACAGAAAAGTGGTTGCTATCAGGGGTAATGGAGATACTTCAGTCAGCTATAACGTGACTATTTAAGCAGAATAGTTAACAAAAGTGTTGTGTTTGCTGTCACACTAGAGAAATTAGTGTAATGTGCAACTTACCACAATGAACTACGCGCGGAAACACTGAGCTAGCTAGATAACCATAGTGACAGTGACAGCGAGGGTCAAAACAGACTTACGATACAATTTTTGGTGGTCACACGTTACATGTCCACCATGCAAAACAAAACATGGTCAGTCAACTTGTGTATTGTGGTGATGAGAGTTTGTAGTGAATTAGGTCTATTCCAGCAACCCTCCAATGGCGGCAGACCTCAGTTACTTTATTGGCAAGTGGCTAGTGCTAATTTTGGACCCTGTAGGACAGCTAATGTTAGCAGTGACTGACTAGCCAGTAGCCACACTGCTTACTGCAACTGTGTTTTACAGAAGCCTGAAAGAGGAGAAGATTTAAAATATACTTAGACAGATTTAAAAATCAATGGAAGTTGTGAATCAATTCAGAATCTTTACCACCCCTAGTTAATACATTATTTTCATGTTAAGTGATGACAGTTTGTTTGTTTGTGAGTGTCACAGCTTCATTTACATTAAGCCAATAATATATTAGCATTATAGGAGAGCATTGCTGCCTAATATACAATGTATGGCTACAAGTAGCAATTCACTTCATTATAATCCGTCAATAATCTAGACAGACAAAATGTGTTTATTCTGCATTATCTGGCCTCAGAAGTGCATTGTCCTGTAGTGTATACAATATACTGTAGCTAGGATAACCTCTTATTGCCCATTGGACAGCAGGACTACAGATAGATGCCTTTAGTAAAGTTATACTGTGCAAATGCATTGTTAGTGGGCACATACGGACTGACCATAGAGTACTATGCATGAATCAGTACACCATCCTTTCAGAATTGTAAGAATGACATAACCAACAGCAACACAAAGTATTCATACAGAACATATTTTGCTCCTATAACCAAAAATAATGCTCCAAAAGCGGCATGTATAACCAGTGAGCTGATAGAGTTGCAACATGTAACATTGCATGATGTGAAGCATATCCTAGTGATAAAAGCTATCAGCAAACAACAAGAACAGTAGCAGTAAGTTGGCAAAGGTTCTCATCTTTGTTGCTGCACTAGTGCTTCCCATTGGTTGGTTCTGGTGCCTGAATGGTGGGGTGTGGTAATGGAGGACATCAAACCAATCTTCAGCATTTCTTCATTCCTTGTCAAATTATCATTGTTAACTCAAATGAAGTCTCTCCTTATTGAAATGTGTTTTTTGTGTACTTGTATGTGCCTGAGCTTTTAGGACATTTCATATTTAGAGCATGAATTTTACTGTATCAGGATCGAACTTCAATCTTTACCTCAGAAGTTTTCCATCTGTTGTTTTTCTGTTTTCTCTTCTACAGGTGCATCTCAAATAAAAAATCTCTTTTTTTTTTTTTTTTGAGATGCACCTGAACACCATAGAAAATTATATTGGCTTTTCAGCATACCTGTCTGGTGTGGGAGAAAACATATTTTCTGTAGGATGTACGTAACAGTTCATATTTTTAAAATAATTTTATTTGGATTTGAAACCCGATGGCAAAGTTCGATGAATGCAAATTTTTTGATATCAACCTGTAATTTCTTTCACTGTCACCAATTGCCAAATCATTATCAGCACCCAGGAGATGGTCCTTGTTGTGTTGTATCCTTGATATGTCCAGCTATCCACACTGGAATCGCTTCAGTTACCTGAACATGCTTAACATTTTGATTCCCCACATCATTCTGACTCCATACTATGAACCAAGACAGCATAGTGTGCACCTTAATAGATCTAGAAAAAGTGTTTCAGGTTTCAATACTCCGCTTCCATTGTATTGCTGATTCTGGCATAGATTAGCATAGCCTGTAAAGAATAGAAGACATTACTAATACAGGCTGTACTAATTAAAGCCAGAACCATCATATCTCCCCAAAAATGTCTTCAGTCCGTGGCTTTAGTTCTGATGTGTGATGTTGGAGAAGAGAAAGGTTTGAAAGGTTTGATAGCTTTGAGACTTTAAGCTGAAGGGCTGGATTCCTACACAAAATAAATAAAACACATTAAACGTTATTGAAGCCCAAAGTGTTCAATATTAAATTTAAAAAATGCATTATGAAATAAATAATCATATTATAATAATATAATCAACATTATTAAAACATAACTCATTACAACAATGTTATTTCATAATTAATTTTCACAATAATTGTTTATTTGATTCAGTATTTATTTCATAGACATGTGTATTTTTTCTTCAAAATTTAGTTTTTATTTCATAATGGCATTTCCCATCAACACATTTTATTTCAATGCCAATTGTGGTGTTGTTACCCCCTGCCTCTCTTTAGTTAGTCAACAACGCTTACCAAAATTACCCAGGTAGTTCCTATGAACTAGAGCAACAACAATGCCAAATGTACTCTGATCAACCAACTACACAGGCACAGAAACTGAACCTTCTTAACAAGGCTGCTTTTGCCACTTACCAAGCTTGCTTATTATCTATGCCAGGTTGTGAACGTTAATTCTCAGCTTCCAAGTGAAGAGTCAGTGTTAGCAGTGTCAGCTAGCACCTGTTGGCTTGACCACAGATAAAGATATCTTTTTTCTTTCTTTTTGTCTGTTTCCCTGAGGAACATCTTAGAATCAAAACACAGTAGAGGTTACTCTGAATTAATCAGCCAATTTTAGCTGATGCCTTTAAAAGTGGCATATGCTGAGTATTAAAGTTCACAACCTAACCAGCTAGCTAGATTACATGTGCAACCTTGTTACAGCAGCAGCTAGATAGTTTATTCAAAATGAATTTGACATTGTGGTTGCTTCAGCTAACAGGAGCTTACTGGCTAAATCCAGGGGTCAATTTTGATATTTTTATTATATTTAAATTTATTATATACATGGAACTATTTATGATAGTGGCGGGGATTCCCCTGAGGGTAAGTGCAGAGGGTAAATCAACAAGGGCATGTTGAATAACTAATATAACACAGCCGTACTATGTTCCTGCAGTGGAGGAGACTGCAGTTTCAGGACCCTATCTCTAGAGCCCTAGTTTTTTGTAACAGTGCCACCTAGTGAATTTGAACTGCAAAAGAAATGTGGTACTGAAACTGCAGCCTGCATGAACATGCTACTCATGAAAAGGGACACTATGAAATAATAACATACTTTTAAAAATGAGCATAAAACTCTGTTAACATTAAATAATAATGAGTTGACCTTTAATAATGGACACTTTGGGGTTCCATAAAACAATACATAGAAAATAAACAAATATCTTAAAAATACATAT